AACCCCAACACAACGCTTTGAAGCCAGAGAATCTGTTTTGGATTTACCGAAAAAGTTAAAGTAAAAGAGAATCTTTTTTTTGTAATGAAAAAATCACTGATGTAAAAACACTTGGACTTATGCGATACTAAGAGGTAAAAACCAATGTACCATTTAATCAAAAGTGACCACTTTCCTGATATTTTTATCATGTTGTTGGAAGAGGCTGTTTCAATGGCATGGGTATCCTGCAGATCTGGGTATAATTGACTTTTTCAATTTTCACGTGAAAAACAAAAAAGAAAAAACTTGGACAATTACATTTTTGTCCCTTGATTAGTGTTAGTGCTCTAATTCACATGAGGCGGGAGTGAAAACGAGTTTGTGTCAAAATGGGAGCGTAAATGCAATAAAATTCAAATTTTTGTTAGCGGAGCATCACCAAAACGCTTGTATATTATGATATAAGCAGCCTTACTTCTTAAGATGTTTGTATGTATGTTAAAGGCTATTATATGTATAAGGGATTATTACATATAAATTGTGCTAGTGATTCATATTTATTATTTGATTGAGTCAAAGTGTCATAGTTTCAAAAAAAATGAAGACATGAAAAAAAAAATATTATTTAGAGGTACAACTTTTGGACACATATGTACCACTTTTTTTGCATGTATGTATCACTTGATGCACAAAAAGCGGTACCTATGTGTACAAAAAATGGTACCTATGTGAATAAAAGTAATATCTCTGTACCTAAAACAAAAGTGTTTTAAGTCACATGGAGCGGGAGTGAAAACGCGGAGCGTCACCGAAGCGCTTGTATACTATGATATAAGTAGCTTTACTTCTTAAGATGTTTGTATGTATGCTAAAGGCTATTATATATATAATTGTAGAATAATAAAAAAATAATTTCATAAACATTAAAAAATGTGTTTGAGTTATAAGTAACCTTGTTTCTTAAGATATATAATATTATTAATAATTAAAAAATAAAAATATAGAATATTTTTTATTTTTATGGAAATGCGACTTGAAATAGTTATTTTAAAGTATTGTAAAATAATAAACATCTTATAACTAAATAAAAAAACACTAAAAAGTACCTATATAATTTATTTGCAAATATGTATGTATCTATAATCTACCAAAAATGATTAATATAAAGCAAGCAACAACATGAAATAGATTTGTTTTTTTTTTTTTTTTTTTTTAATGATCAATATTAAACCTAAGTTTATCCTAGGTTTAATATTCTAAAATTAGTTTTTGCACATTTCTAACCATTTTTATTCAATATTAGGTATGTTTTGATCATTTTCATCAATTATAAATGTGACATGAAGTGGTCTATAGTTCAATAAATGTGAAATCGTTGTGAATTCGATGATGGACAAAATTGAATTCGCGAATTATGTGAGGACTTAATCTCAAAACACTAGTTCATGCGCGGACTGCGGGAGTGACAAAGATGGTGATTTATGTGAGCAAGGATAATTTTGTAATTTCAATTACAATTTCTCTTTTTCTTTTTCTTTTTTTTTGAAAAGTAGGAAAAGGCAACATCTTTACGACTGTCTTTTCACCACCCAAAACATTCTGAATCATTGTTCTGTTCACTTTTCTGGTCACTTAGTAAAAGGAAGCTTCCTCTGAAATCAAAAGGATATTCGTACTCCTGGTTTAGCATGTCTGGTTCGATATTCTGGTAATCAGACAATGATGTTGTCCACACTGCTATGGTGACCATCCAACTAAAAGATCCCGTACATCTTTACATACATGTCTATTGCATCAAGTTTCTCTCCGAAGTAGTGCCCGTATCGTTCCGACTTTTGGTAGAACAGGAATTGATTTATTTATTTATTTATTCTTAAAAAAAAAACCAAACACACACACCCGTACCTCCTATGGAGGTTCCAAAACCCGACCTCCCTAAATGAAGACTTGAACCAGCTGTGTAACTTTGTTTTTATTTTTTATTTTCAAAGAAAGGAAAAAAAAAAAACGGAACTTTAAAGCCTGTTAGAAAATTACTGAGCTTGACTTACATGTATTCTAACGCAAAATAAAAAAAATAAAAAAATAAAAAATACACGTGAATTGAATATTTAAACATGAAATACATATTTAGTCTGAGGACACCTACAATAAAATAGGTAACCTCAAAGATGAAACTGCAAGGACTTAGTGCAGCTTAACATAATTTAGGGTCATTTTTTGATAATTTATATTTTAAGAATATAAGTTTGACCCAAAATACAACTTAATTAATAGGAATAATATTTTTAATTAATTGTCAATTATAATGATAAAAACAGGTAAGAATATATATATTGTTTTGTCTTGGAACTATTTTTGTTCCTCAAAAAGATGCATTCCACATTGTTACGCAAGGAACCTACCATTGTACCTAACTTATAAATTAATTAAATGAAAAACAGTGAACTTAAAGTTGGCCACACTTTCTAAGTCACAATCATCATGATAATGAGATGAATAATTAACTTGATGTGATGATGAGAAGGAGATGCATAATTAGCTTTATATGAGTGTGAAATAAATTTTCCAATTCCACCTCTATATTATGAGAAAGAAATATATTTACCAAAAAAGAATAAGAAAGACATTAAAAGAACAAAATGAGTAGTGAAATGCTTTTGAAGTTTGAATATAGTCTCCTTTAACAACTAATTAGTAGCCCCTAACATTTTTGTCCTGAATATATATATATATATCAACTCCTTTAAAATAACCTTATTAATTATTTTTTGCATTCATAAAGACTTCCACTTTGCAACTAAGAATAGTTAAGGGTCAACTGCATAAAAATGTAAATGGTGTAGTACTTTTGTGGTAGTTGGATCACATTGGTAATTGATTCTTTCATTTATTTTATTTTTAAGTTATAATGTTCTGCGTAATATTTTTACCTTCTATTTAAAAAGTGTATAAAAAATATCCTTAATCTTTTCACATTGTGTAAAAATATCCCATCTGATATAAATTAAAGATATAATACACGTTTTACTCTTTTACTCTTTTGAAAATGCCAAAAGGAATATATATGCTACTAATCTCATAGTTTAGGGGTGTTATGTGCACATTACCTTATAATATATTTTGAAACTTTTTCTCTATATATATCATTAAACATTTTTTTAAAAAAACTTTGAGAATTTGTAGAATAAGGATTGAATTTTTTGAGATTTCAATTTATTCTTTTCTACTATTTTTTTTCTTTATTTTATTTTATTTTATTTTTTTTTAAATTTGCAATATTAGTGTGCACTGGTTTTCGGAATTTGAAATTTTTTTGTTTTCTTTAGTTTGCACTTTATTTTTATTTTTTATTTCTATCTTTACCTTTCTTTTATACATTTATTTTTATTTTATATTTTTATTTGTACTTGTCCATTATTGGCGTCCTCCAATAGTGTCATTTTCAGTCATCTTATATAATTATTTATTTTTATATATTTTATAAAATGATTCAGTAAGGGTAATTTAGTCAACTTAGGGTTTAAACTTGTTAGAGGGACCTATTTGAACTAGATTGAAACTTTATGGGTGTTTTTTGCACAGGAGGGGCATCCTCCAATAATGTTCTTTTTGGTCATTTTACAAAATTATTTATTTTTATACATTTTATAAAATGGTTCAGGTAATTTAGTCAACTTATGATTTAAATTTATCAGAGGGATCTATTTGTACCAAATTGAAACTTTAGATGTATTTTTTGCACGGAGTGTGATATGCACGATAAATATTTTTTACACGTGAGGGGTGTGATATGCACTGTAAATATACTTTAGAGTGTTTTCTACAGTTAACCCTTTTTTAAGACTAGAAAAAATCATTTGGTTTGTAATTCTAAAAACTGTTTTCATAAGCTCTGAAAACAGGCTATTTTATAATGAGTTTTCGTAAAACAGTTTTCAAAAATCATAACCAAACATAATTTTTTATACAATTTTTTATTTTCAGATAACAAAAAAAACTATTTTCTTAATTATAAACCAAACATGATTGTTTTCAAAACTCATTCCAGTTACTCTTCTTTTTGTCATTTCCTTTTCTCTCCTTTTCTTTTCATTCTCGTTATTTCTTCTTTTCTAATGAAACAAACATTACATATCAGTCACACTATGATGATTTATATATTCAGAATTCTAAATACAATTTTATTACACCAGGGCAATCATTTCGAATTAAGAAAAAAAAAAAAAAAAATTTAAAACTAAAGTTGGAATTCACAAGCATCTCAGAATGTATTCTCATTTGTTCTCTATTTAATTTAATTTATTATTATTTTTTTAAGTAACTCACCCAAATGGAGAGATTCGGGATTGCTTGATTTGTTAAGCATAAAACAGTTCTCTAAAATTCGAAAGATAAAAAAACTGTTAAAAATTGGTTTTTTTTTTTAAATGAATTTTCAAAAAATTGTTAATTAAGTAATTTTTAAAAAAAATTAATTTTTAAATTTTTTTGGATTTAGGGTTTGTATAAGTTTCTGATTGCATAAAACAAAAAACTATTTTTTAAAAATTAAACAAAATAGCCCTAATACTCTTTGCCATAACTCCAATGTTACACTCTAATTTTAATTTAATCAACCTAAGAAAAACATATGAAATTAATCTTAAGGCCTCATCGTCTCATTCTTACCCACTCGATCGAACTAATTATTTCACATGCTACATCTTTTAAGCTAAGGACGAACGGAATTAAAAATTGTCAACTCTTGGAGATTATTATTATTTGAGAAAGATTTTACTATTAACACATTCCATTTAAAATCATAGATCATCATGTCAATTCACAAATGGATTTGGATGTATAAACCCAACTAATGAAAACCCAAAAACCCACACACAATTAGACACAAAGCAAGCGTCACAGTGAAGTGACACGACAACGTGTCAACTTAAAAACCAACTTATGCGCGTGGCCCCACCCAACGCGCTTTTGATGGTCCCACCATCCCTCTCTCAATCCGATCCTTCCACCCTCTCCAACTTCACATTTGTGCTCTTGCAGGAACCTCCTCCTCTCTCCGCCCCTCATCCCACTTTCTCTTTCTTACATATACGTGTATGTAATACATATATACAGAAATTACTTTCTGTAGAATCTTACAATCGGTGTACCGCAATAGTTTTAATCCGAACGCAGCCAAAATCAGATATGTATAGACAAGAATAGGACTTGTTTTGGAGCTTAATAATTCATTACCATTTATTACTTCTACTATTATATATATCTCTCCAAACATAGATATTTCTCTCTATATCGGGGCACCGCATGTTGGTCTCTTTTGCTCCCTCAACAACAACTCCATGATTGTCACTGTAACCACCACCACCTCCGTCGCCGCTTAGTGTTGTTCTTTGTGAACATAAATAATGTCGCAGAAGCGACAGCAAGAGGACGGCAAGGCTCGAGTGGAGGGCAATGGTGCCGAGGACAATCGTCGAAAAGTTCCTAAGTTTTGCAAGTGAGTATCATTTTCTACTTGCTTCTTATATTTTTAAATACTTGTATTTGTAATTTGAATGTGGTAACTGAATTGGGCATGATTGAATAGTGAAATTGTGGATGAAATTGGAAAATTGTATTTTTCTTTGGCTTCCTATTTTGTGGAATTGAATTGGATTTTAAAGTTGTTCAGAAATGTGTTAATGGGTTTTGTGAATTTTATTGAAATTGAGGGGAAAATGGAGTTAATGGAGTGGATGTACTGTTTATGTTGAGATATTAAATAGGTTCGCGTTACAGGATTTTTGGTTATGTGTTTGGAGAATTGTATATTTGGGCATGCTTACAACAACAACAACTGCCCTTTTTCTCTGCTAGTTGGGGTCAGCTGTATGAATTTTAATTCTTATATTTCCATTCCGCCCTATTTAAGACCATAGTCTCGCGTAAATCAGGAGCTATTATATCTTATTTTACTAACTCTACCCATGCTAACATTCTGCTCGATAATTGGGCAGCTTATCTATTTAAAACTTACCACAATCAATGGTTGTAAACAAAGAACTATCTCCTCAACTTGTGAGGGTTCAACTCTCCATAGGGCAAACCTGTGTGCTTTGTGTGAATGTGTTATTTGCTAGGAAAAATAAAGTATTTATTAATTAGTGTTTAAGTTGGGTTGGCCAATTGGGCATGACGTTGCATGGTTATCTGCAAAAAGTAATAAATTTATGTTTATTTTAATGAAGTTGGAGTAATTGTGGAGTGTGGACCATATGGTTTTGACTAATATTAAAGCAGTGATTTTGTTTTCATGTTTTCTAACCCTTATATTTTTTAGTGTGGTAAGGGAGGTAATTAAGTTGCGCAAAGTCCAGGATTTTATGGAGCCAGTTTTGGAGCCGCTGATTCGTAAAGTTGTAAGTGCATTCTCTCACATTGTTTTGTTGGAATAATGTATTTAATGTTTTATTTGTAAAGATATCCATGGATAGAGCTTAAAACATGTTCATGATTTACTGATTTATATTATATTTATGTGGAAACTGATTGTGTATAATATCAAGTTTGTCATTTACTTAAGACTGGAGTTCTCAGTGATGCATGTTGTCACGCTCCAAACTTGAGAAAATTTCAAGTTCGAGGGTGATTGTTTATTATTTTAATTTCTTAAAAGTTAATGTTATTTTAACACATCATACTTTACAGTTAAGCGATTCTTTCAAACAAATACTAGATGAAAAAGCCTTTTTACATGCGCCTTTCTTTTAAGTTGGCCACTCCGATTCCTTATAAAAGATATTTAGTCCGTCAGGAAGCTCGAACGTCCTTCAACAAAAGCGTACCTGGACTCGAAACTGACATAGGTGGGTAGGTAGAGAATATCTAGGGGTGTGAGACAACTTGCCAACCCTTGGTTGAAGTTGGTTTAACGGACCAAAGAGTGTCACCACGACAAGTTTCATTATGTAAATACTATTTTTCTATTTCAAAAGAAAACTTACCTTTCCTGAAGTCTAGTAGAAGAGAAATAAGTTTCTTTCATTTTTGTCCCCAAGAAATCCTAAAAATAGGATAACAATACTTTCTTATACATAATACACTGTCAAATCTGACCTCTGAGTATTTAGAAGTTCGTAACTTAAGAAACCCATAACACCTTTTTGCCGGCTTACATAATTTTGGGTGTTTTAGATACATCTAAAGTTGTCAGTCTTGTGAATGGTGTATAATGAGCCAGTGGTAGATATGTAATTCCATATTCTATCTGTAATATACTAATTTGTAATAGTGTTGAGCTTCTATATTTCATAGTGGTTTCTGGTTCTGTGATTATTGCGTTTGAAATTGGCTGTACAAAATTATTTAGTAAGAACTTCTTTATGTTAATGTTGGGTTACAGGTGAAAGAAGAAGTTGAATTGGCTTTAAGAAAGTATTTGACCAGTATGAAGTGGTAAGTAGACCTTAAGGTGCTGAAGATACGTTTCTACTGATAGTAAGAAGACATGTTTCTACAGAATATAAGATGGTTAAGTTGTTCACTTTTGGTGATATATATTATATGCTTGATTCATCCTTGCACTTGTTGTTCAGGAATTGTGGGAAAGAAATACAACCTTCGGAGTTAAGAAGCTTACAATTACAGTTCTTACACAATCTCTCTCTCCCGGTATTCACTGGAACTCGTATCGAAGGAGAAGATTGTACCTCCTTAAAAGTAGCTTTATTTGATGCTGTTTCTAAGCAGATTGTTGACTCTGGGCCTGAATCTTTGGCAAGGGTGGAAATAGTAGTTCTTGAGGGAGATTTTGATGGTGAAGAAGGAAACAATTGGACACATGAAGAGTTTAGGAATAACATTGTGAGAGAGCGAGAAGGAAAGAAACCTCTTCTTACTGGGGATGCATTTTTGAATCTTAAAGAGGGAGTTGGTTTGGTGGGCGAGATTTCCTTTACAGATAATTCAAGCTGGACAAGGAGCCGTAAGTTTAGACTGGGTGCCAGAGTTGTGGATAACTGTGATGGGGTCAGAGTAAGAGAAGCGAAGACTGAATCGTTCATTGTCAGGGATCACCGTGGGGAATGTAAGTAAATTTTCTTGATATTTTTTTTTATTATTATTAATTTTAACATTTTCAACTGTATAGCTGTGAAACATTGATTGTGTACAGAGTCATAGTTAATATATGAATGGAAAAATGTACCCAGAGAACATATGAGGGACCAGACCACTGGGGAAGTATGGGGAAAGTAGAACTCATATTAATGGGTTTTCTCTCATTCTCTCTCTCCTTTTTTTTTTTTTTGGTTTTCTTTCTCTCTTTTTTACACACATAAGTACCGTATGATAAGTGGCAGCATGTCTAGTAGAATTTGCCTTTTTATTATAGAACATAAGTACTGTGCAACTCATAGCAACGGTAGTAGACTAGTAGTGACCCAGACAATCAAGTGTTGGCAACTACCCTTGGTGTATACCCTTTGACTCATTGAGCCAAAGTGGTAATGAAATCATTGGGTTTGCTCCTTTGAACTTGGTGTACATTATGGATTTAAAAAGGACATACGCTGTAGTTTTGGTCTTGGGCTCTTGATGATAATTAGTTCATGTATCGTTTAGTTTGGTCATTTGCAGTTATTTTTCCTCCTCATACACCATTAAGTTGTATGTTGAATTTGCATACTCTTTGTTTTATTGGTTTCTTTCATAATCTTAGATTCGTCGCCATTTGTCTAATATTCTGGGGAGTTCAAGTCAAATTGTCTTACATCCATGCATTAGTAGAGTAGCCTATGAAACTAAAAAGGGAGAAAGTAATATATAAGTGGTACATAGTTGACTGTGGCAGGATGTTTGAATAACTTTTCTGGATGGAAAATATTAGAATGATCTCTAATATAACTTCATTGGTTTCTGTTGCAGTGTACAAGAAGCACCATCCCCCCTCTCTGTTTGACGAGGTGTGGAGGTTAGAAAAAATTGGTAAAGAAGGAGCTTTCCACAAGCGTTTGAGTAGGGAAAGAGTCACCACCGTGAAGGATTTTCTGACTCTACTCTATTTAGACCCTACAAGGCTTCGAAATGTAATTATTGCCCCTTCCTTTTCTTTGCTTGATGTGATTCCTTTTAATATATTCAACCTTCTATCGACTGCACATTGTTTTCTAAAGGATGGAGAAATGATTTTGTGCCCAAATGCAGAAAAGATGGATAAAAAAAAAATAAATGGAAAAAAGGATGAAAGTAATGATAGCTTGTGTTTACTCGCACACACGACACAACTACTTGTGTGCATGCATGGGTAAGGAGCTTGCTGACTTCAATATCCCCTATATTGTGACAGAACAAGCACTTCCTTCTCATTAACAAAATAGTAGTCTATATTGCTATTTGTTGCTTATATAGCTGGATTCAAAGGGAACTGTCTTCACAAAAAAATTTTGACAGTAGCTTTATGTCTTCCATTCAGGAGGCACCCAACATTTATTTATAAGTTCAACATATATTAAGTCTTCAATTCAAGATTTTGAGGTTGCTGTTTTGGACCTCTTGTCCATGCAGGATGTAGACGTCTTTGTCTATATCCTTGGTCCATGGCCTTGCTTAACAAGGAATTTTTTGTTGATCAGAAGTAGACCAAATCAGTGGTTTTAAGTTTTAGTACATTCTGGGTGTGAGTATATTACCTCTACAATAAGTTTAAATGACGTCACAATTATGGTGTTTATATGTTCAAATGAATAATTATTTCAACTTCATTTGATGTATGAATCACTAACAATATTTGTTTCATGGGACTTTGCAGATCCTTGGCACGGGTATGTCTGCTAAAATGTGGGAAGTCACTGTGGATCATGCTCGGACATGTACACTCGATAAAAAGTTATACTTGTACTGTCCTCCTGGATTTCAGCCAAAAACTGGTGTCGTTTTCAATATCGTAGGACAAGTGATGGGACTACTTTCTGAATGTGAGTGTGTTCCTGTTGATAAGCTGTCTGAAACCAAAAAGGCATGTCTCTTGTGACTTTGAACTGTTTTCTTCCTTAACACCCCCCTTTCTCTCTCTCTCTCTCTCTCTCTCACACACACACACACACACACACACGCGTGTATTCTAATTCCTACATCTGGTTCCTTTCTAACTCCTTTATAATTGCCTCTGTTTTCAGGCTGATGCCCACAACATGGTTATATCTGCATTTAAAAACTGGGAGGAAGTAGTCTCCTTTGAAGACGAGGCGTCTCTTATGGATGGCTCTTTGTGCTTGTCCAATATTCTTTACCCCTCCAGCTCATCCATGACTGAGAGTTCTGATGGCAGTAGGATTTTAACTTCTCACAAGCTTGGGAGATTTGATTATCCACAACCAAGTGCGTCTTCTCCAGACGTCATGCCATCCATCTATTCCATGGGGTCTGTGAGTAGTTTGGACGATTTTGGCTTGCACAATATTGACCATATGGATCTTAAATACGATCAAATTTTCTCTGACCAAGTCCCCAACTCCCTGATCTGTGACACTTCCTCCATTACTCAAGCCTTCTGTGAGGATGAGCATCTGAAGTATTTTGATACTGATTGTGCTCTGCAAGCTCAGAATTCAAGTTTGGTATCACAGGCGGATCTACACAGTGCCGTCAATGGCTTCTTATTGTCTCGTTCTGCAACTGTTGCCACTGATAAAGCTCAAGCTCAGAGAAGATGGGCAATCTTGTTTAGTGTATTTAGATGGTTCTCAATAAGGAGGATTGTGGCCAAAAAAACCCATGGTACACAGAGGCTGAGACACCGTTAATGTGCTATCCGCAAAAATATTCCAATCATAAATGCAAATACAGTACCAGTTAGCCTGCCCGATTGAATTTTCGTGTGCAGTTGTAGTCTTTCTGTGAGGTACAAGTTGGAGTTTGTAATGGATGGCATGTACAGCTTGTGGTTCATATAATGGCCTTTTAATTTTTCAATTAGATTGTAAATTTGTAGATGTTCCTCACAGAATTTGTAGTTGTGGTTGCTTTTGCTCAAATGTGAAGCTTAAAAGCATCTGCACCAAGTTCTATGCCTTTCATACCAGATTGTAATTTTGCATGAGAATTTTGTTTAATAAATAAAAATAATAAATGTATCATCTTTTCCTTTTGGATGTGAGCACATTTAATTGGTTAATCTTTTGATGTTGTTTGTGTTGTTGCTGGTATGAGAATCTTTGGCGAGTTAGGGGAATGATTTAATTTTTAGCATACGATTGAGAATGCGGTGTTAGGTCACCAGGCTACACAATTTTTGATCAATGATCTTACAAATATATTTATTTTTATTTTTAACTTTTTCTTTTTACACATTCATCTCAAAATTCACATTTTTATCCACTCATTATATGCATATATTATTTTCTAATTATCCAATATTCTGTCCCATAAAATACGGTTAATCTAATATTGGTTTTATCGAACTTTTCTTCAATGTGGGTCCGATACTATATGATATTTTCACAAGATACTAGATTCACTTATTCATTAACCTTCTATTTTACCTGAAGAGTAATGATAGTTACACCGAAGCCATATACCGAATTATTGGGTAGAACGTAATTTTTTACTAATCTAATTATTCATTTTTACTGTTCACCATCCTATTCCTAATTTCAGAAACCTCTCTGCCGTCTGCAATTTCTTAGATGAAGATTGCGTTGTTTTTTTGTTTTGTTTTTTTATTTGGACGTGATCTGCAACAACTCCAAATGATTTGACGATTTATAACAAGTTTTTGACGATTGGCAGAGTACCTCTGGTAAATCAAATATATATATATATATACATAAATCTCCCTGCATATGTACATGTTACTGCAAATTTTTTTTTTTTTTTAAGAATTCCACACCAATGTCAATCCGATTGAGACAACTAGGGTTAATAAAACAATCTCATCTCTATATATATATCTAATTTATCAAATATACTCAATAGTTCCAAATCGTCAAAAACTTATTGTTGATCGTTAAAACATTTAGAGTTGTTGCGCGAGAAATTAAAGATGATGAGAGAAACTTCTTCCAAAAAATTAGAGACGGCAAATAGGTTATTAAAATTAGAAATGGGATGGTAAATAATAAAAATAAATAATTAAATTAGTAAAAAATCATGTAACGTTCTCCATCAACTAAATTGCCACGTTATTCTGTCCAACAATCCGGTGCCATCAATTACATTATTCCAAAAAAACATCACTTTCAATTTCCCTTTCGTTTTGGATAAGCACTAGTTGAATATTCCACCAGGGGACACGTGTTTCTGACTTGTGTGAGTTTGCATTGCTGTAATTCAAAGAAGCAACAGGGGTAGTTCAATGTATTGGGTCATAGTAGATGCTTTTAAATCACAAAAGTCAGTTGCAACCTAGATTTGGATGGGCTACGGCAGTCTTTCAATTTATATTGACCCAACTACCCTTTTGATTGAAGCCAACAGAGATAACGAGGCTTCAGGAATTCAAAAATAAACCAGGATCCACTATATTATAGCTTCTCATAATTTCTATCCAGACTATTAAGCCCATCCTTTTGGCACTCATGTCAAGTGGACATCGTTTTTTTCTTGTTTACTCAACCTTTCAGTAAGTAGAGAGCTTAGAGAACATAATGGAGAAGCAAAGAGGACATGTGATAGTGCTCACATACCCTGCCCAAGGCCACATCAACCCACTCCTCCAATTTGCCAAACGCTTGGCCTCCAAAGGTCTCAAGGCCACTCTTGCCACTACCCATTACACCGTCAACTCCATCCGTGCCGGTGGCGTTGGCGTCGAGCCAATCTCCGATGGCTACGACGACGGCGGCTTCAAGCATGCCCCAAGTGTAGAAGCCTACTTAGAGTCATTCAAAATGGTTGGTTCAAGAACTCTAAATGAACTCATACTCAAGTTCAAACACTCAGCCTCTCCTGTGAACTGTCTTGTGTATGACTCCCTGCTTCCTTGGGCTCTGGATGTGGCTAAACAATTAGGCATTTATGGAGCTGTGTTCTTGACTAACTCGGCTTCTGTCTGCTCCATGTACTGGCAAATTGAGCATGGTCTCCTGACCTTGCCTGTGAGGCCAGAAATGGTGCCTCTCTCCCTGCCTGGCCTTCCTCCACTTGGGGTTTCTGATATGCCAAGTTTTATTGCGCAGCCTGCTACTCACTCTGCTTATCTGGCTGTGATTATGGAAAAGTTTTCCATCTTGGAACAGAATGATTGGGTGTTTGTCAACACATTTGAGGACTTGGAAAGTGAGGTAATTGTATTTTATTTCATTTTTAGCTTGTAAATTATATAACAGAATTTGGTGTATACTATTCAATTTTGTAGATACAGACATAAAAAGGGGATAGATTTAGTAAATTAATGGGTATAAATCATGGCAGACACAAAGGGGCCTTTTTTTTTTTTTTTTTTTTTTTTGTAATAAATCAAAATTTAGGACTTTATTAGGAAAGTGGAAAAGCAAGAATAAGGAAGTATATTCATGCTGGTATCAAGTAAAATGACCATCTAATTTCATAACTAGTTGGGAATGATTTAAATAGTTAGAATTTTCATGGATATGTTACAAATCCTTACATTTGATGAAAATTCAGATACTGGCACAACAGAAAAGGCTAGGTAGCAGTTTGTATGACACAAACTAACATTTTAGATTTTGATGCTGCTTGATTATTGCATATTTAGTAATCTTTTCATTTTGTTCATTGGTCTGTGTCTTTGAGAAGCTTGCAAAGGTCATGTCGGGTCTCTGGCCTTTGGTGATGGTCGGTCCGATGGTACCATCAGCATTCCTAGACCAACAAATCGAGGGAGATACAGATTATGGAGCCAATTTTTGGGAGCCTGTTGGTGATCGATGCTTGAGATGGCTCGAGACAAAACCACCCAAGTCAGTGATTTATGTGGCTTTTGGAAGCATGGCAGAGATTGCAGCCAAACAGGTTGAAGAAATAGCATGGGGATTGAAAGGAAGCAACAAGCACTTCCTATGGGTTATGAAAGAGTCTGAAAATGAGAAGTTGCCGGTTGAATTTCTCAACTCAATAGATGAAACAGGGTTAGTTGTGACATGGTGTAACCAGCTAGAGGTGTTAGCTCACCAAGCCGTGGGATGCTTCATGACGCATTGTGGATGGAACTCAACGTTGGAGGGGTTGAGCCTTGGCGTGCCGATGTTGGCTATGTCGCGCTGGAGCGACCAGCCAATGAATGCCAAGTTCCTGGAGGATGTGTGGAGGGTGGGTGTAAGAGCCAAGAAGGATGAAGAAGGAATTTTGAGAAGAGAAGAACTTGAGATGTGCATAAAGGAGATTATGGTTGGAGAAAAAAGTGATGAGATTAGAAAGAATGCCTCCATGTGGAGGGAGTCTGCTAAGAGTGCAGTCAGTAGAGGTGGGAGCTCAGATAAGAACATTGATAAATTTGTTGAAGTGTTACTGGTGGGAAGGAGTAAATGAATTTGTAGAAGTGTTACTGGTGGGAAAGAGTAAATAAATTTGGTGGCTGGTTCTATGATTCTGATGCACTAAATGAAATTTTATGCTGAAGTTATATTACAAAACTCCAGGAGAGAGTCTTCACACATTCTTTTTACATGAGTATATAATAATCATTCAATGCTCATATGAACTATATAGTTCATAAAATCCAAACTACCCCCTAAAAAGACATTATGAGATCCCACCTGGCATACATGGTATTATGCCAAGAATATTGTACCCCTAAAATCAGTATCATGAAACCATAATAGAGAACTTCATTAGATAAAAGTATTTTGCCAAAATATACGAACGAATATAATTGTTATTTACACGATCATTCTATAATCAAGCAACACAACAGTAATTGTGGAGAGAGCATCAACAAATGTACAATTTTCCAATATTTCTCCTATGTGAGGCAGAAAGGAGAATGTTAAAAGAGACGAACCATGATATCTTTCATATTCTGGCTAATTATTCGGTTGTTTGTTGATGTGATCCACATATAGGTCAAGTATAGAAGAAGATGAAAATGAATATGGAAGCGACAACCCACAGAATGACAATTGCTGATGATCCTCTGTCTAAAAGCAATTATTAAGAAAGCCTACATCTTACATGCCTTGCTGTCATTGCATACTTCACCCTATAAGGAAAAGATTTGAGGGAAAATGTAAGACATCAATGCATTGTTTTTCATATTTATGTAAATTAAACATCGTTGATGGAAAATGTATGTTACATGATCTCCAATACGTGTACTAGGGAGGGGGGTGTGTGTGTCTGTAACGGTGGATTTCATTGAACTCCAAATCCTAGGATATGTAGACTAGTCTTGAAATGTCTGTCCAAAGTTGGATATGCTTATGCAGACAAGTCATACATATTTAAGTACATATATGTTATAAAATGAGTAATGTATGATGACTCAATTAGAATTTAATTTAAATGGGATATGGTAAAAAAGGGGCTTCTATCCATCTTAGAAGTAGAAAACCCCTGGTGCAAATGGCTTTACTTTTTCATGATTAACCAATTAGTTTGGATGGTCCTTTGCTGATATCAGAATTGTGCTTTTCTTCTTCCTCTTCCATCATCGCATGTAGGGCATTGGGGTGTTTAATTTGGGTGTGTCGGACATGTGTCACATACTTGACGCCCATGTCGCGTTGTGTCAACATGGGAATGTTGAAGAAATAGGAGATTATATGTAATATAAATGATAATCACATGCTAAAGGAATCCTTTTTGTGACGAATATGGATTGGAGAGCTAACAGCAGACAAGTTCAGAATATAAGAAAGAGTTGTGAAAACATCTGTTCTGCAGATTTCACTATTTGGGTTCTCATAAAAGTAGCCGTGTGATAATTGAGTTTCCCATCAGAAGAAAAGTTATACATCATAAAATCCTCTAGTCAGGGAAGATGAAACCGAAATATTCTTCGGTTGTTGGTGACTCTTAATACTCTAATAATCCAACTTAAATATCTAGGGCAAAGTCCTGAAACATTATCCTCTTGAAATTTTAGACGGGCTCTAGATTTCCAATTTAACTGAGTGAGTGCAACGAAAATCCAATTTTTTTAATGAGGGTGCTAATCACTATAGTCAGATGAATGACATGTTCACAAACAGATTGGGGACCAAGCTTTCTTCTGAAAATTTGTTTCATTTCAGTTAATAGCTGACAACCTTATCTAATGACTCATCCCAACAATTTTGTTTCTTTTGGAATCCTTTCTCCTAACCAGGCGTAATCCATATGTTATGTTTCCTGCCTAACTCTATTGCTTGCCATGTAGAAATATATTGAACTGTGGAGTTCAAAAGCTTCATATAAATTGGTAATTCAATCGTTCCAAGCTGGCATATAGTGGATTTACATTCTTTTCACTTTGGGAGTAAAATTTGACTTTTAACAGGAGTTTGTGAGTCTGCAGACCTGCCTTTATGGTTCAGATACTACAGACACAAGGCTTACCTTCAAAAGTAGCCTGGAAGCAAACATTCCATCTTACTTCAATTATAGACACCAGTTTATCCGCTTTACTACTAAAGATCATGTTACTGTGTCAAAATTAAACTTCACACTAATGGTTCCCAAATAGTTGATACTGTATGTCTGGACCTTGTCTCAATCGATATAATTTCTAGGCCTCTTTAATATTCAATTATAAATTCTTCACGAGCTGCAGAGAAATGAACTGGGGAAAATTATTCTTCTAAACCTTTCTCTTAACCTAACTAGAATTTCATATGGCATCTGATGTACGATTAGACTTAGGGTGTAGAGGCACTGGTGATACACCCTGTAAAGGGTGTCAGGTCAAGTTCTATTAGGTTCTTAGTTTCTTGCTTTTCCCCTGGTAACAAGCATAGATTTGAATTTGACATACTCTACAAAACAAAGAGACATACTTCATGAGATAAGCATATAGGATAGATCTAAGGACATACCCCTAAAACCAACTCTACAACAACTGGATTAACCATATTTGCATAATTACTATGCAATCTACTGCCACTCGTTATGCAATCTATTCCCGTAAAACTAACCTTTCAAACATCTACAGCTAACCAAGACCATCTGCTACCAACGATCTGCTAAATAATTGATAAGCAGTAGAAAAACCATTACATTGCCGGGATTCCCCCTTTTGATGCTTGTTAGGCCTTTTCATCTCAGCAGACAGTACTACACTTATTAACAGAATTTTGGTATGGGCGTGTCTGTCAGTTTCTCTACATTTCTTGGCACAGAGAGATCTAAACAAAAGCACTAAAAAAAAAAAAAAAAAAAACTTCCATCTAAAATATTGTACTTTCAACACCTCAAAAAAAGCCCGAAACTTTTGTTTATAATCTGAACATATACCAGTTTACTATAATTAAGATGACAGCCGTGCAACTTCTAGAAATGTGATGCATAAATGAATGGGGAAAAAATAACATGGATGCAGTTGTATGTTCAAACCTTGTTCTTTCGTGCCTCCAAGACCTCCTCTAAAGGTGGCCGGCCTGTAACCAAAATGTTATTATTCATTAATAAGTATAATTAATAGTTAAAAATAGCGAGACAAACAATAAAAAGAATCTGCACGACATAGCTGTTGCATAAGCTAGGCCATATGAGCAAAGTGGAACTACAAGCCCACTTGATGAACATCAGGGAAAGGTGATTTTATCTGCTATCAAGCTGAAATTTAGAAGATTGAATCTGACGGCTAAACGTTCAAAACTGATGGTAAGATTTTTGGTTGGCTTCTCAACAGTGGATGATTTTCCAGTCCACATTGGTCAGATCTTTCATAACTTTGTAGTGAAAACTACCTATTTGGTGAAAAAAAAATTGTTCTTATTGCTATCATGTTTTTAACTGAGGGATTTATTTTCTTGATAATTAAATGCTTTGTTTACCTGTAGCATGATCTAGAGAAGACATATTGTAAATCCATTATTTTAATGGATTAAAAATATTATTCAGAATTATCCTACGTTCCCCCCCACACGTCAAAGGGATTTCCATGTAAAATTTTGTACTCTTGTGTTGCTGAATTTTTTAAAATATTCTTTGCATTTTACCTGATTTAGTATATATTAGTTCAACACACTTAAGGACTAGCACAAGGAAAATTGTAGCTCTTCCAACAATAGAAGATGCACATGCTTCTGATCCTAAGAGTGATGTAACATATGAATGCTTGGGTCTAAAAGCAATTAAAATACCTCACAGTTGTGAAACTCTCAAGTATGTCAAAAGGTAGTGGTTGGAAAACAAAGAAAATAACATGTGGGAGCTGCAAAAAGATTCATCCTAGTAGTCTTTATGATATTTGGTCAACAGTTCACAAATAATTTATCTTAGAAGAGCTGCATCAGAGCAGCTATGAAACCGTAACTGGAAGTTGATGAGTAGTGATCGGAATTTCTCAAGCATCAGAACTTAAGCAAATATATGAGAATCTTGAAAGGTACAACACAATAGGCAATATGGAAATACCTGTGATTTGTAGACGATATTTAGCCCAAACACCATACACAGCATCAGCCATTGTTGCAACCTGTGATTTATGCTTTATAATTAAGTACAACGGTCGTAAAAAATATTGAAGCACTCTTCCTATTTAGAGCATGTGCATCTAGAAGGTAACAAACATATCAGCAAAACTTCTGATAATGTTAAAAGCTCATAAGAGATCTTACTGGTTCATATTTTGTAATGGCATAAACCCAACCCAGACCAACTGCTTCATATAGTTTTCTAAATGCCTGCAAAAGATCTCATTGGCATAAATGTTGTTCCTTACAATGTGGAAAAAGAAAATCATTCACAAATTTGCAAGGGCTTCTTTTTTTTTTTTTGGCTGGAAATTTAGTTCATAATGTATTAATGCGCATTTTTTCCAATCACATACTTCTTGCTCTATATTCTGGATTGAGTTCCACAGTTTAATGGATTGCGGTGACAATGAACGGAGTTATGCATCCTAGAGTGGCATTTAGTGCTCCAGTGCCGTTTCATATATCCAAACTAGTAGTGATTATATAGAGCAAATGTCAGATCCATGATTACCAAGTTCAAAGAAATTGTACACATTAATTTCACTTCCAGAGTGACCAAAGTTCAAGTTTGAAACCATGTACACCCATAGTTGATGTTTAAGTATTCACAGTATCCTTTAAAAATTATTTGAACTGCCATTAAGTGATTCCATCTTAGATCATCCAATATTTGACCTGATGTTCAAAGACCTTCATCCAATCCTACCAAGGCGCTCACAAAAAACGAAGAGCATTTGGTTAGTAGCATTTTCAGACTGTCTTACAAAAAAATATTCTGAAAGTTTCAATTATAATATGCAAAGGCGATGAACCAATTAAGATTGAATACGACAGAAGCCCTTATTTAAGAGACAAATGCAATATTGGTTTTAGCATGCAGATTCTGATATCTATACAGATTCTGAAACTATATTAGGAGTTACAGCACAACAATTTGAAGAAGGGCATACCTCAACATCCGTGACAACAGTTCCATCAGATTGGATTGCATGAATTCTTCCCATAGCCTAAAATATATATAAAAAAGAACTTCATCATTAGATTTAAGTGGCATAAAGAAAAGGTTATTTTTCATCCTGGCCAAATTGGTGCAGAATGCCACCAATGCTCAGGAATATTGATCAATTTGTAAAGGGATGGCGTCAAGCTGAGAGCTGGTTGTAAAATATTATAGAACCTATTGTTCCATAAAGCTGTCATGAGAATGTTGGGACTAAGGCGTGTCGGTTCCAGTTCTAGTCTTATGTATAAATCAAAACATATGTAGAACATGGTTTCTATCATTGCAATTTTCTTGTCAAACCATGAGCACATCACTTCATCAGGCACATTGCAAAATATGTAAGACAGTAAGTTAGAAGTGATCTAGCCCCAAAATTACAGAATGAGCATCATGATAATACAAAACATGGTCATACATATTCAAGAATATAATAATTGAAAAGAACATATTAGATGGGGCGGGAAGGGAGAAGAAGAGATCATGCAGATTGAAGCTAGCACTGAAGTTAATACTTTCAAATGGTGAACAATGTGATGAATCCTAAAGAGTTAAGGGGGTAAAAAAACAAGGAAGCTAGTTCTATCAGTTAAGAAACCTGAAGTCATTTTTACAAGGGAAATAATAAAATTGACGACACCCTCTTTGACATGAGGCTATGTTATAGCTCTAACTCTATATGTTTTTACTGTTTCTATACCAATTTTTTGCCAATATGCAGGGATTCTTTTAGCATTGGCACCACAACAAAATTCAAAATTTTATTTATTAAACATACAGCTTTGTAGTCAAGGCCTTGATTCTCCTCTGGACTATATTCATCTGAACTTATGTCAACAAACTTGATTGATCCGTAGCGCTTATTCCGCTCCCTTAACATGTTGACCTGGTAATATAATTATACAAACATTGACTTTTTCAAATGAACACCAATTCATGAATAAATGCTCAACATATTCATCCCCAATTTAATAACAGTAAGTTGGAATCAAATTAAAAACTTGAAAATAAAAGGTAAAATGCAAACCTCGCGCATGCAAAGCGGGCAATCACCATCATAAAGCATCTTAACCTTCCAATTTTGAGACGATTGTTCATCATCTTCTTTCTTGGGAGCTACAGCTTCCACAGTTGGTTCATGTATTGCGCGAATTGAATATTTATATCCTGCAACAAGGAAACAAAAAAACACACTCAAATTTAAATAGCCCCACTATAAAATCAAAACTGATGTGATTCTTTTCCCTACTAATCAATAATATTAATATTTAATTGCATAATACCAAATACAATTATCAAAGCCACAAAAGAACATATCCAATACCAAATCACAAAATACCCATATGGAATTAGAGGGAGTAATGTAGAGAAAATATAGAAATGAAAAAACAATTGTAACCTAAAATGAAAATTATAGGTGTATGTGTGTGTGTGTATATATATTACCTGTTTGGAAATTGGGATTATATAAAAGGGTTCTATGAAGAAGAGGGCGCGAAGAAGAGGCATGATGTCTGGTTCTGAGATAGCGAGGGATAGAGAGAAGAATTGGGTTTGCTTGTCTTCCAATTGAAGCTGCTCCTCTCAATGCCATACTGTTGAATGTAGAGAGAGAGAGAGGTGTTTCTAACTTTCTGTTATAAACGGTTCTGTATACGTGGCAGCACAGTATTCACCATAAACGGTTCTGTATACGTGGCAGCATAGTGTTCACCCAAATAATCTCGCCGAGGATAAAAAAAAAAAAAAAATTCATAATCATTAAACAAAAGCACACGCGAACCTCAAAAACTTAACCTTAATTTTCAATCACAAGACGAAAAACCAAAGACAATGGGATTGTGATAATCTATATAATAATCTCAAAATTGTGTGAATCTTGAATCTCGACGTAGTGGACAACAATTACAATAATAATAATGATGAAGAAGTCCAATACAGCACATAAATCAAAACATTAAACATGTAGGCCGATCCATGTTTTACATAAAACAAGGTTCAAATTTGAGTAATCGGTTCCAAAATATCAATAAAAAAATAAGGACAAATTGAATCGTGGAATTGGTTTAAAAAAAAAAAAAACAACAACAACTGCTACTAAGCATATGAATTAATGAAGAAGAAGATGAACCCGTCGTGTGTATATATATATATATAGGAATTGAAATCGCTACAATCAAACGAATAACGGATCACCCATACCTTTACGATGGATCAATGAATGTAGCTTAAATTAATCTGAGTGACTTTGAGGATCGATGGATACAGAGAATTGTCTATCATCAACAGAGAAGTTTGTAGCCTGCAGCCAAATTGTTTGTTCATCACTAAGTAATGTAATGTATGCTGGCTGGCCACAGAATTCCCTGTTGACGGCAGCCATTCTCCATGCCTCCTATTCATCATCCATCCTGCTTCTTCAACAAAACATACATATCGACGTCCACCCCCAACCCTAATGTGAATATGTATTTATATACATAACGTTACTTCTTAAGCAAGGAAGCATTGTTTGCTTTAAATCGAAGCATTGCTTGCTTTAAATCGAAGCTAGTTTTCCTAATCATATATATACTGTATATATATGCTCATCCTTATCCAGTTATCCTTCAGTTCATTGCCTTTTTTTTTCTATCCACTTTCCCAGAATGAATTATTAACTACTTAACAAATTGACTTTCATGTTAATTGACTTTCTTCAAAATCTTTTGCCATCCCATATTAACAAATTATATATCCTCTCTTTTGATCCTCATCCTTTCATGTCAAAGAAAAATATTTTACGCTGACTATCCAACAAGTGAATCGATGATGATATATATAACAACTTTAGGTTATAGGTTCATGAGCATAGATAGAATTGGTGTAAACAAAGTAGACAAATTCTATTTAGAACAAAAATTCATTAAATGATGATCAAAGCACTATTTAATTGGTGAAGAAATGAAATTATTTGAAAGACATCATTAATTGATTGTAATCCAGTCGGATGACAAGGCGTGATCAATCAAGTGTGGAACCTGCACGATACACTTTATCCCCAACTTCTCAAAAAAAAAAAAAATTCATAGGGGGAGTTATTTTAGTAATTTTCGTATTTGTTATATTGTCATAATATAATATGAGAACGATATTATTTATTCATTCGGTGTATCATGCCCTTTTTTCATACTTAAAGTTCAAAGAGGCCGCCCAAGATATATGTATGTTTGTTCGGTTGTGTTTTTTGGCAACGCTTACAGACATATACAATGTTAAGTGCAAAAATATTTTTAAAAGTATATTTGCGTTGCATTTCACATCTTTTACGTACAAAAAAACACTTCTTAAAGTTTTAATTTTGTGCAAATAGGTCCTCTGACAAATTTAAACCCTAAATTGATTAAATTACTTACCCTTTTTAAACCATTTTATAAAATATATAAAAAATAATAATTTTATAAAATGACCGAAAATAATACCATTGAAGGACGCTCCCTCATGTGCAAAAAACACCCCAAAAGTTTTAATTTGGTGCAAATAGGTCTTTTTGATAAATTTAAATCCAAAGTTGACTAAATTACCCTTATTGAAAAATTTTATAAAATATATAAAAATAAATAATTTTGTAAAATGACTTAAAATAACACTATTGGAGGACTCCAATAGACAAGTAAAGATAAAAATAGAAAATAAAAATAAAAATAAAGTGCAAACTAAAGAAAACAAATCTACTCAAAACTCCGAAAATCAGTGCATACTGATATTGGGATTTTAAAATTTTTTTTAATAGTGTTGGTACGAAAAAAAATAAATAAAGAAAAAAGAATTAGTTGAAAACAGTATACTGAAATTTCAAAAAATTCAAATCCTTGTTTTACAAATTCTCAAAGTTTTTTTTAAAAAATTTAGAGATATGCATAGAGAAGAAAGTTTGGTAATGTGCACATAACACGTACCCCTATATTATGAGATTAATAATATATATAATCCTTTAGGCATTTTCGAAAGAGTAAAAAGACAAAACGAGTATTACAACACTAATTTATGTCAGATTTATGATTGAAATGTATTTTTGCACAATGTGAAAAAATTAAATATATTTTTTTGCATGCTTTTTTAAATAGGAACAAATGTGTTATACAAAATATACTTTAAAAGTATTTTCTACACTTGTTATGGTGGTGGTTATTAATATTTGCATTTGATTAATATATGATTTGATTATTACATAGGGTAAGAGCCACCTAAACTTTTGACTTGGGTACTCCTAACTCCCAACCCAACAAACTTATGACGGTACTCCTAACTCCCAACCCAAATTCTCACAATTGAGACATTAGTAATGAATTATACTTAGTAATGAATTATAAGATGAATAATGATTTATGAATCGAATTTGACATTTATTGAATTTAATTTATACGATCAAACGATATGATACACCACACCTTTCATATATATAAATTGAATTTGATGACTAAATCACTACTCTTATGCTAGTACTCAATCACTACTCTTATGCTAGTACTCTTCATGATTTATTCACCAAACAGGCTCAACCGGTTTCAAGGGCCGGAAGAATGCGTCGAAGGGGAAATGACCCTTCTCTCCTCCTCCTGTCGTGCTGGTGTCAGGCGGTCGAAACAATTTTCAGAGAAGTTCGGGGTAAAATTATAAATATGGTAAAGTTTGGGAGATACACTGAAAAAACAAAAAATGAAAAAGCAAAAAAACTGTGTCCTTTTAAATTATACCATAGGAGTACTACACAGAGGCTCAATGGCGTTCTTGCTGAACAAATCTTCAGTTCTCTCTCATTTTCGTTCTCATTCTCAGGTACTATTTTCTCCTTTCTATATATACATGTATGCGTTCATGTATATATATGCATGTGTATATCATCAATTTGATTTTTTTATATCTGTCTCATCTCTATCTCTTATCTCTCTGAATTTGTGCACGTGTATTTGTCTATTGAGATGTAGAAAGCGGAGGATTCACTTTCTCTGTCGCGTAGAGGGTTTCATGTTGAACCAGGGGCTCGCGAGAAGGCTGTGAGTACTCTCGCCTTTTTTGCTTCTCTGATTAGGTTTTCCCTTTTTAGTAATCGATTCGTTTTGATCGTCTCTTCTCTTTTGAATTATGTAGGGTAGATCGCCAAATTGATTGAATAGATCTTTATTGAGACTTTTAATTAGTAGTGGAAAGAATAGTTATATTTTTAACGGAAGAGAAAGGATTGTGCATTTTGAGCCCTAGACATGAGAAACTTATCTAATTTCGTAAGGCATATATGAATCTCATGTATATGTGTTCTCGTCTTCTTTCTAATGTATCACTATATGCACTTGGTATTTAGTTTGCTAATGGAGGTTTTAAGGATGTCCTTGATTTTACATTTTCTTATTAGTTACCCAAATTTCTCCATTTTACCTTTCTCTTCTTTATTTTCTGCTCAATAGTACAGCCAATCTAATACAGAATTATATAGAAATGAATATCTATTTTTTTTTTTTTGTAAACACGTATATATGAATATTATTTCCAATTCTTGATGTCATGAACATCTTAGTTGGGCCTTCACATGGAATCAACTTATTATTTGGCTACTGCTAGGAGTTCAATTCAAATTTTGATTATAATTTTCTCCCCTATTGTATTTGCATTTGTTATCGAATAAGTAATAATTTGTTCAAATTATTGCATATCAATGACTGCTCCAGTGAAAGAACTCTTTTAAGTGTTAGTTGCAAAGTTACGGAGTGTTAGGTCAGAAAAATCCTTGGATACATTTAGTAAGGAAGTGTTAAAAGTTCTCAATGCATTTGATATGTGTTTGTGTGTATATATATTTGTTTAGATAAATACTCTCTCTCTCTCTCTCACTCACTCACTCACTCACTCACTCACTCACTCACTCACATGCACGCGTGTGCGCACACACACACATCTTGCAAATGCCCACTATGGGGCTCGAACCCTCACCTCCCCTTTGAGGAGCAAAGGTTATACTACTTGGGCCATTGGCCCTTTAATGGATTTTATGTATTTTGTTGTAATGTTGTCATTTATGCCTTTTTTTCTTCTTATTCTAACCTTTTTCCTTTTAGGTAGTGACGAAGGGGGATTGTTGGGTTATAATACATTCACAACCTTGAAACCATGATTTTTGGTGCATTTATGAATAACTCCTCTATCTTATATATGAGCGTCATAATGTTTGTTCTTTCTGTACTTCATCATTATCCAACATTTTCTTCTCTATATTCTTAAATAAGATAGTTTACTTCATGACTGAATTATATCATTGATTACTTGTACACTCTCAAACCTAATTTGGACTCATATCAGGTTTTGAGCCCCTAATTTAGCATGACTTGGTCTTCTTAAACTTTTTTGCATGCTTTTTCCTATATTTATTTTTGAAAGCATTTCTTCTCGTTTTCGTTAATCACATTCCCATCAATTAGACTATTAACTCTTCTTTCTAGTCTAGCTGTCTTCACTTGAGTCTAATTTATTTTGAGTGAACCTAAAATTTTTAAGTTCACAGCTTACTGATCATCCTCTTCTAGCATATTTATATCCTTTGGAAAGATTTTTATGACTGAGTATCAAATCTGTCCCTCTTATGCGGCCAAATGCTCAAGTGACTAATGTAATTGTGTGTAAAATCTTTAACCTAACACATTTGTGAGGATGGATTGGCTTCAACTTGTCGATCATGTGAGTAGGGTATGAGTCCAGCCCCCAGTTGGCATATTCATCTTCTTGGGAGCCTGCAGATATTTGGCACTGCTGTGGGTCCCTTCACTTGGTGCTTAGAATCTTGCCAAGTGTATGCAAGAGGCTTGAATTTAGGGTAGGGTAAAGTGCAAATAACCCCCCTGTACTATTGACAAATTGCAACTAACCCCCCTAAACTAAAAAAAACCCCCTAAACTATGAATTTGTTGCATTTCAGTCCATTCCGGTGACCGACTTAACCGGAAAAATAAAAAGTCTGAATTGCCCTTATGATTATATATATATATATATAAAGAAATAAAATAATAAATAAACATATATATATATATATATATATATATATATATTTCTGGTGTGTTTCTGAATTTATATATATGTGTTTATATATATATTTAACATTGGAGATTGAAGAGAGAGAGAAGCATCAGGCTGGAGATTGAATCATGAAGAAAATGAAGGAAAAAGATGGTGGCGGCGGCGGCGATTATGGTGACGGAAGAGGAGGTAAGTCGGCGATTATGGTGACGATGCGGAGTCGACGCGTCAAAACCCAAATCATCCTCGTCGCCGCTGGGATCTCGCTGCCGTCATCTCCTGCGCCTGCCCCGCCACCGTCTCTTGCGGTGACAGCTGGAACGAGCTCGGATGGTGGAGAGGACCGGCGAGCAAGGTGGGCTGAACGGCAATGGGCTGGTTCGGCCATGGTTAACTCGCGGCGATGGGCTGGTTGCGGCTTAGCTGCACAGCGGCCGAGCTTCGCCTCATCCACCAACCTCCCTGTTCCGATCGGGACGGTCACCCACTTCTCGTTTTCATCGACCCCAAATTACTCCGCAATCATTCTCCACAAGTGCTTCCACTTGAACAGATCGCCGTTGCTGCAATTGAAAGCTTCGTTGCTCGCATACGGATCCATCGCCGCCCATACTAGTGCTCCGCTATCAGACCGGAATTCGACGCCACCGAGTAGCAGTTCCATACCGCCTTCGTTCCCGAGGGAGAACCAGAGATTGTGATTGAAGGGGGTGATGGCAGTGGGTTAGTGGGGGTTTGGTTTCACGGTGTGTGATGGGTTTGATGGAGAGAAGGTTAGGCTGTGGTTGGTGATGACGGGTGATGGTGGTGGCGGGATTGGGGTGGTGGCTGTGGGTTTGTGTACTGGTTCGATTGGGTTTGGTGGTGTGCCGTTGAGATGCCGATGGAGGTGGTAGTGATGGTGGTGGGTTTGATTTCGTTTAACGGTGTGTTTTGGCATGAGTTCAGGAGGGTTTCGTGGTGGTTATGTTGGTGGTTGCGGACGGTGGTGGTGGTTATGTTGGTGGTTGCAGACGGTGGTGGTGGTCGTAGACGACGGTGGTGGTGGTTATAGGATAATTTGGTATTTTCATATATAGAAGGGCATTATTGTCCAAAAAACTTAGTTTGTCTGTCGCGTGTGAATCACGCGCTCATTTTTGGACGGCCGGTCACCGGATGGGGTGATCTGCAACTTTTTTGTATAGTTTGAGGGGTTTTTTGCATTTTTGGTAGTTCAGGGGGTTAGTTGCAAATTTCCCCATAGTTCAGGGGGGTTATTTGCACTTTACCCTTTAGGGTATAAGGCTAAATAAGCTAGGCACCGAACTACAACTAATCGATTAAGAATATTTTGAATCACATTTAGTGGTTTTGAATTTCATATACCAATAAAGATACAGCCACAAAAATATGTTTCGTTCATGTGTTCAGAGGAAAAAGAAAAGGTCATTATCCATTGTGGTTCCCTTAAATGAGGGAGCTGAGGAGGCCAGACTGGAGACAGAATTAACCTTCGGCTTTTTTTTTTTTTGCACTGTGGCTCTGATTGTGTTAAGGGAATCAACATTATTTCAACCTAATGATATTTTAAGATAACTACCCACACACATCTTGTTCCTGTGCTTACTTTATTGCTCTGATTACTTAGGTCATGCTCACTTAAATAGCTTTGGCAACGTTCATCTCTCCTTTGTAAACTTTGTTCTTATATTTAAACTTCATTTCAGTGTATGGCTTGATTATCTGTGTGACACTTTTGTACAAAGCTATATATTTTTAGTATATTCTGTTATTTCATGCAGTATGGTAGATTAAACTTTAATTGAGGAAGTCATTGGACTTTTAGGCATTTGAATTTGTGTCTGTGAATTGTATCCTTGTCGAATCTGATTTTTATTGTTTCTGCATCCTTGTAAAATAAGTTCATTTCTTTCAGCTCTTGGCAGAGGACCCAGCACTAAAGCGGTTCAAATCACATAAAAAAAGTGTGTGGAGGCTTAAAAGAATTGGAGATGTGCTCACAATCGTTGTTGTTGCTGGTATGCTAATCTGTTCATTATAAGTTGAATATCAGGGTTAAGAATATTAAAATCACTAACTCGTGCATTGGAACTGATAGTCAAATTTTTGGTAACAAGTCGTTATCTCATCTCTTAAAAGTTAAAGCTAATATAAACAACACTTCTTTTGATTGTGGATAAAACCTGGATGATTTCTTTTCTTCATTTTTTTTTTTCCTAACTGTTGCACCATGCCATAACTGCTAAGCATTTTTCATTGAAGCGTATAAGTGAAAATATATTTAAGTATTAACAATAATTCCTTTAAATAATTGGTAGGCACTCTTAGGTCCTCTGGAAAGAACCGGTCCGGTACCAAAATTTTGCAACTTACTCTAGTGTTCTCTAATAAGAGAATATATGTTATCTTTAGGACATAAAGTTGGAAGACCGAATGGAAGGGTGTAAAAGAGGGGAGAGGAGTTTTTGAAGAAATAGAGGGAGATAAGTAAATACTAAAAAAAAAAAAATAGAGTGAAAAAAAAAAAAAAGAGTGGTGAGAGGGTTATAATGGAAGAGAGTAGAATATGTTTTCCATCAGTCTATCCAATATCTCTTGGGGCCTTCTCCTTATAGCAACTTGATTGTGAATCTTATCACTCCTCTGCAAGAGTGCTATTTTCTTCCTTGTTTGAGGGACCAACTTGTAGTTGTGATTGCAGTGTGATATGCTTAAGCTGACTAGAAGATATTGTATGCTAAATCATCAGGGCTTCAAATCTTGCTTTGCCTGTTATTATTTGAAATTCTTACAAGGCTGTTTTGATTATTGCTACTATCATTATTATTTTCAGGATGTTGCTATGAGATTTATGTCAAAGCAGTAATGCGTGAAGAAGCTCGAAAGCAGCAGGCAAACAGAAGTACATAATGAATCTTGTGTTTCTGTGGCTTCTGTTCTTATTTGGTTGGTAGCACCATTAGCCGCCCTTCTATGATGTTATGCCTCTATGAAATAAGCGAGACAAACTTGTCAACCCCAGGTGCTTAAACCTCCCAAAACATCACTTATTTTGACTTCTCGTAGATTTTTATTTTCAATAAATGCTGTTCTATTAATGTTGTACAACGATTATGTTGAATTTCGTGAAATTTTCTCCAACTTTTATCATGAATGTTAATGCATTGCGAAATGTACCTCGACTGTAGGCTTTGAAATTCAATATTTGGTTAGGATGACCGAACAATCAAAAACCATCAAATATATACAGGAACTGATGACGCCTTTTCTGATATGAAACGTTTATGCATCTATTTTAAAATTTACATAAGTTCATATGGAAATAGGAATTTTGATGAACCGATTACAAGGGGACTTGCTGTAGTTCCAGACTTTATCATGTGACCAAGTACCGGCCAGTCAAATGGTCAGAGAATGAGGCAGGTGGTAGTCATCTTGCTGTTTTTCGACCACAGTGATCTGAAATGTAATGAGAAGGCAGGTGGGATATAATAACCAGGTCCCATTGGAATGTTGTTTTTGGATCATCAAGTGATTTTATTCCATATCAAGGGTTCTCTAGATTGTGATGCAAAATTGATTTTGTTTATTCTTGATAATAAATAGCCTTATAAACAGATAAAATAAGGATTAGTAGTGAAAGTATTGTTTATTTTAGGATTAATTATAACGACATCTCCTGAGGTTTGTCATATTGACAGTCATATACAACTTAGTCTTTTTTTGAACAAAGACACCCCCTAAGGTTGCAAACTTAAACAATGACACCCCATTTTAAAAAAACATAGCCAAACATAGCCTTAAGTTGCATGAAATGTCTAATATGCTCTAAGAATATTTTAATCCTCACTTAAAATGACCAAACTATCCTCTCTCTCTCTCACTCACACACACACGCACAAACACACACAAACTGCTCAATCGCCCTCATCTTCTTCCACACCCTCAAACCCCCAAATCGTATCAAAACCAAATTTTCTCTCTATCTCACACACACAGGCTTGTGATTTGGTGATCCTTCTTGTTGATGATGGTGTTTCCATTGGAGTTGTCAAATCAGGAAACTGAGATGGGTCACCAGAAAACTTTGTTTGATTGCCCGCGACAGATTAAAATTGCAGTGAGAGAGAGATTGGCGGTGGCAAAGAGGTGCCTGCAATCGGCAGAGAAGTTATCTTTGTTGTTTGCTTAACTCGGTAGAGAATATCAACGGCGGCAAGGAGTGAGATCGGCGGTGGTAGCGATAGACGGCAGAGATCGGAGAAGGTTGAGGATATCAACGGCGGCAAGGAGTGAGATTGGCGGCGGCAGCAATGGATGGCAGAGATCGGAGAAGGTTGAGGAGGATCTTGGATCTGTGAGCAGGGTTGGTGTGTTGGGTATCGATCGAGGGAGAGGTGGCAGACGTCGGTGGTGTTGTCGATACAGAGAGCAGTGGCTAAGAGGCGGAGGTAGGTGAGGCGAGTTAGGAGTTGGATTGACTGTGGATGGCTCAGCCGTGGAGGACTCGTGACGACTGGTGAGGGCTTCTCCTTGCTCTCCGCGAGATCCCATTTTGAGGCGATCTCTGTGTTTTTTTTTTTTTTGATGGTGTGATCTATGTGTGTTAGGTTTGTGTGATTTATATGTGTTGGGTTTGTGTGATTTATATGGGTTTGGATGGCTCGGCTATAGATACATGTGTGTAATTTTGAAGTGTTGGGTTTGAATGATGGTGGTGGAACGGGGCAGAAGATGGTGGTTGTGGAGGTTGCGGTGGTGGTGAGTGGTGGTGCCGAATGAGTAATGGTTGTGTATATTGGCTGAAATAATAGGGAAGATCGAAAAATTTTTTGGATGTGGGTAATTTGGTCATTTTATGTGATCAAAGGTTAAATATGTACTTTCATTATGTTTGGGGTGTCATTGTTTAAGTTTGCAACTTTAAGGGATATCTTTGTTTAAAAAAGTATTAAGTTGTATATAAGTGTCAATATGATAAATTTCAGAAGGTGTCGTTGTAATTAACTTCTTCTCCTTCTTCTTTTTCTTTTTATTTTTTATTTATTTTTTATTTTTTATTATGATCTGCATTCATTTGTTCTCTCCATTTTTCAGAATGATGTTACTTGTGATTGATAGTAGTCCACTGAATTGAATGTTTTCACTGGCTTGTCGGAGAGGTAGTAGTGAGCTTTTTAGAAATCACTACTTTTTAAAATTATACAAACTTTGTATATGAATAAGTTGGAACATGTGAAGCCAAGAACCGGTCATTTAGAATTTAGACATGTGGGCCCCTCTAGTTACGAACCTTTATAATATAGTAACATTTATTGAAGTGACATTAATTTTACTTAAAAGAGTTAATAAATTCATCAAGCAAGTGTTGAGAACATGAATCCATTGACCATTGTGTGCCCACATTAAAGCTAGAAAATTATAAAAGTCTTGTTTATTGTCAAGTGGGTAAAATTGTCATCCTATAATTTGAAACTAGCATTATTCCTCAACTTATTGCATTTGAAGTTTTGATGATACATTGTTACCAGATTGAAATATCATGATCTATATTTGTTGCAAATAAGCACTTAAATGGGAGGTTATTGCTGTCAAACTCTTATGTCATTTTAAAATATTGTAACAAATATGATGAAGTTAATAGAAAAAAAATGGAGATAAAGAAGGCAAGGAGAATGATCGTGAAAAATAATTATTTATAAATTTATAATCAACCTGTCCGTGGATCTTACAACTTTTAGTGGGCCTCACCAAGGTTGTGAGAGGCGTCAGTTAACTGATGTTTTACTCCTTGTGTCCAACATAAATATTTTTTATTTTTCGAAATGTTTCAAAATTCAAAAACAGTGCACATTTTTAATATCCAGTATCCACACAGACCTATGTTTAAAATTTTACAAATTAAAACAAAGTAAAGTATCTGAATTCTGAAACGGTCAGTTTTGGAATTTTGAAAATATACATAGATCAAATTATGCCCTCTTCAAAATTTGAAAAATTGAATAAGTAATATTTTGGTTTTTTTTATTGGGTGAGAAAAAATTAATAGAAACCTTCAAAATTCAAATAGAACACACAATTAAAATCTTTTGACAGAGGCCTTTTATAATGTAAGGCCAGATCAAAACTAAGGATGGCAATTTCTCCCGGAATTTCCGTCCTATCCTGCCTCGTCCGGTCTCTAATGGGGTAGATTTGGTAGTCTCCTAAATGAATTCGGGACGGGTATAATAAAATAATTAAAAATTCGAAACGGATTTGGGATAGAGGCGAATTTAGTGATGATAAACCCACCCCGTCCCACACCGATTATAATATGTACTTTTAATATATATATATATATATATATATATATTATTATTATATTAAGATTCTTGTTATTTTGCGGCAAGTCTATGTAATATATTAATATTCAATACTTGGTAATTTAAAAGTTAGACCATCTTATTTATTAGCTCAATTTGAATATATTGAGTTAGTTTTTTTCACTAAATAATAAAAGTGACATAACCAGTTTCGCCTCCACAATTAAACGGATTACACGATGCATAGTCGGTACTTTGTCTGTCATAATAAGGTCCTAGGGACGAGAATGATAAACCAATTACAAATCTATCCTAAAATAATAACAGGGTTAGTATAACGAATTTTTTAGCGAAGTGAAAATTACGATAGAAAATTACGATAGAGTAAGATTTAACTAAACTCACCTATTCCGTTGTCATCCCTGAGCTGAAAACATTTAATAAAAAATAGTATAAAACAAAACAAAAGTTAGTGCAACTGTGCAAGTGCTGCTTGTTTTTGTTCGTTCTTTTTTGTGAAAATGATGATAATGATAGAGATGAGTCTGAGCTGTGCAACATCTCTTTCCAAAAGTCCAACATACTTATTGACAAAAAGAAATTCAAATAAAATCATACGTCATCATCACTCATCATACATACAAATCCCCAAACAGAAATCTAATTATTTACCACAGAATATTTATCCAAAAAACCCACTCTCTCTACTAGCGCGTTCCTTAACTCACCGATAGTCTCACAAATATAGCATTTAAGTTGATTTTTTGACCGTTTGACTATATAATCAACGGTCTATAGTAATCTACTCTGCCATTCTATGTCAAGTTTTAACCGAGATTGACATCACGCGCTCAAGTGAGAGTCGCATAAATATCCCACTTCGTTAAAGTCGCGATGTGTTCGATCCGAGCAATGATATAGTGCTACCGGTACTTTTTGGTCGAATCACTCTAAATCGAAATTACTCGACGCGTGTCATTTAAAAGGGTATTATTGTACTTTGACATGGAGTTTGGTATATCCTCGATCGAAAGCATGTTAGAGTTAAAATGACCATATTGCCCCAGACGTGGACAGCTAACATTTGTGATTATTTGTCAAAGACAGACCAATAATTTAACAGATGGTAACGCCCGACTGTTTGAGACTTTGAGCTGTAAAAGTTGGGCTTAGAGAGAGAAAGTGAGAAGAGGGAGTCTTCTCAAAATCAAGAAAATTTCAGAGTTTTCTTCTTCTTGAGTGATTGGAAAATTTTGCTGTCTTTTTGTGGGTTTGAAAGATCTGCGTAGATGGCAACGTTTGCAGGGACTACCCAGAAGTGCAAGGCATGTGAGAAGACTGTGTATTTAGTGGATCAGCTCACTGCTGATAACAAGGTCTACCACAAGGCCTGCTTTAGGTGTCACCACTGCAAGGGTACACTCAAGGTATGTATAATTATATATATACTTGTATATATATATATAGATTAGTATGTGGAAAAATTGTATGTTCTCTGATTTTGATTATAGTTTTAGAAATTATGATGTTTGGAGAATTTTGGTTTATATTCTATTTGTAGGGGATTGTAGATTGGATTTTGATGATGGGTAAGTAACGATGATTAGGGTTAATGTGATGATGACCAAAATGATCTTCACCTGCATAAGTATTGGAACATGGTTTTGATTATTTGAAGCTTACTACTACTGTTTGTTAAAATGAATGTGGTCAATTGGATCATGGCTTTTAAGGATCGGTAAAGATTTCGATGGAATTGCTGGTTTTGTATGAGATAAGCTTTTGTTATCCCAAATTTACTTTTATGGAATTGTGCTAATAAAAGTAGTTCATGAGCTAGCCATTTGAGAGATAACAATTGAGTTAAACAGAGTGGTGTATTCGAGGACTATTTTTTTTTTTTTTGGATTTTTGAAATTGTAGAGTACATACGAAGAATTTTGTGAATTTCCTTGATTGCAATTGGTAAAATGGAGTTGATATGCATGGGAGAATTTAAGCATGATACTGTCATTCCATGTCTGCCCCAAATCTAAGAGATACCACAATGTTGAGAAGAGTCATCTATTTATAGTTTAATTTAAACTTTAAAGAAATCCTGGGATTCTGATTGCTACGCTATTAATGCTCAACTTTGCTCAAAAATCTGTAGGAATTGAAAGAAACAAATGCGAAGGAAGAGAATTTGATTGTTAGAAAGATTTGCCTTGTTTATCAAGAGGTGATGGGCTTGCATTTGGAAGCCTCAGGACGCAAATAGTCATTTAGTAGAGCACTTTGGTGACATTCGTAGCTATATCTCTGCTATTACCAGAGACTTGGTTGGTTATTTTTTAGCTCAGTGAATCAGATAGTAAGGACAACAAACTAGGATTTTCATCTCTGTGTGTAAACAGGTTATTCTAATTGCCTGCAATAGATGCTTGAGATTCTGAAGAAAACTTTTAATACTTAAAAATGTTGGATTATGATTCATTATTTAGTATTGTTAGACAATATCATAGAAGAAATTTAATCTTTTCTTTTATGCATTTCTACATTTTGATCCACATATACACTTACCTTAATTTTCATATTCTTCTTTGTAGCTGAGTAATTATAGCTCCTTCGAGGGTGTGCTATATTGCAAGCCGCACTTTGATCAACTGTTTAAGAGGACAGGCAGCTTGGACAAAAGTTTTGAAGGTGTTTAGCTTTTGCTGAGTGATTCTCAGGCATATTTGATTCCTCTATTATGTATGAGATCAATAATTAATTCTTATTTTTATTTTTATTTTTTTTTTGCCTTTTAGGTGCTCCAAAAACTGTTAGAGTTGATAGATCTGCTGATCAGGTACTCGAAAGTGTAACTTGATAACCCTTTTTTTTTAGACAGAAATTATGTCTTACTTGTGAGAGATATTGCGCAGAGTCATACCAACAGCAAGGTTTCAAGTATGTTTGCTGGAACGCAAGACAAATGTGTTGCTTGCAAGAAAACTGTTTATCCAATAGAAAAGGTAAAGACTAGCACTGTTATGTTTATGGAAATGCAGCAAGAAACTTGCAATATATATATATATATATATATATATTTTTTTTTCTGTCTAAAATAATCAAGTTTTCCCTATGTCTGTCTAAATTCTTTCAAACTTTTGACGTTGGTCAAAATATTTGGGAAGATCTGATATAGTTTTTATATTATGTTCTGTATACTATTTCTTGAACATCTATTGTAGTCTAGCTCTATTGTGTCTTCATTGGTTTTTCCACTACAATTACCGTGCTAATGGCAAATTTTGTAATGCCAGTGAAATGAAAGCACGAGGACCAAGTTCACACTAGTTTGGCTCAATCGAAAACCAAAATTTAAATAAGAAAATCAGTAAAAACAAAAATAATAAATTAATAATAAATGAAAATTTGTTCCTGTGAACTGACGGATTTTGTTGGTTATGTAATAACAGATTGAACTATGATAAATGCTTAAATTATAACATTTATTTTATGAAACAATTAAGTTTTTGAAGTCCCCAAGATTCGATATATTTATTTATTATTATTCTTATAGTTTTAATGTACTCACTATATACATATATGTACAAAGTTTTGAGAAGGAAGTTGGCAATTACTGTTGTTTTTACAAAAAAACCCTATTTATAGGTTCTATAGAGTAGAATGATCTAAGCGCTAAGCATCTTTCTAATAGACTAAAAAGTTTAGTTTTTATAACAATGTTATAATTAAACTCAAATTAATGTTCTTAGGAAATTCACTAAGGACCTCCACGATTTTGACTTTTGGCACCTCATTAATAGACTGCTAAAAGTGTTCGTGATTAGAAAAGTGTTTTTCCAAATTATCTGTAGTCATCCCCTCTTTTCCCAACACATCTACCACAATGGAATGATCTTGAACTGATCACAAATATGTAGCATACCATCCTCCCCCTCCTCTTTCCTCCACCAAAAAAAAAAAAAAAATGAAAAGGTCCCCTTCTACAAAACATTTTAAGTTGGTAGGTTCATCTAAATGTTTTCATGTTCCACTGCATGCTAGCTCAATAATAATTCAACTTCCAAAATCATTTAGCTATAGAGTCTATACATGTTATGAAGCTAAAAGTCTTATGTACCATAATCATTGTTCTTTCAGGTGGCAGTAGATGGCACGTCATACCATAGGGCTTGTTTCAAGTGCTCCCATGGGGGCTGTGTGATCAGCCCATCAAACTATGTGGCCCATGAGCAGCGACTCTACTGTAGGCACCACCACTCGCAGCTCTTTAAACAGAAGGGCAACTTCAGCCAACTCGACAAGCAAGAACAAGTTTAAGGGGTGACTGAGAACGCAGCATCTAGCTCTGATGCCATGAAGCTTCATGTATCAATGGTGACATTCCGATATCACATAAATAGCAGTTTTTTTTTCAGCAAAAAGTCGGATTCATATGTCAAGTATAAAAGTTGAGATTATGGGCTGCCTTTCTTTATAGATATGTTATTTGAAGAAGAGTATTTAATAGAGGTGTTTCAGTTGCTAATTTTTCGATGAGCTTGAATGAATAATAGTTATCAGTGTTGGGTTCTATCCTTTCAATAAACCTTGTGTTTTGCTCTAAGGTCCTGTTTTGAGCTCTCAGTAGACAGTAGTTGAAGCTTAATATGGTTATATACTATTATTTGTTGTCACTTTCCTACTTTTCTTTGGTACCAATTATGCTACATTTATCATTCTAGTTTTAAAAAACCTTGCCCGTTTTATATAGAAAATTTGATAGTCAGTTGCAGAAATTGGAGAATTTGGTGAAATGGATATATAATTCCAAATTATTGTAACTGACTAATAGAAGCAACTTTTGAAGGATAGGGTTGGGGTGAAATTTGTAGTGGCAGAGGGTTTTCTTCTGTTAATTTGCCACACAAAATAAATCGATGAACAAGAATTATCTGCATTTTAGAGTCAAAAAACCGACATTGTTTATAGCCTTCATCTGTATAGCAGAAGCATCGTTCACTATCCAAATTATTGTGTCTTCCAATTCTCTGTTTTGACTCCTTGCATATTTGCTGCTTCATATATACCATTGAAAGAAACTGAGACATACTACACGATTAACACTCACTCCACAACTATTTAACCCGGAAAACCTCCTTGCTTGGAACTCTGCCTTCGTTCTTATAGTTCTGAAAGCCTCAGGTTGTATTAATGAATGAAGAGTTTGCTGCTAGTCATGTTTGGCTAACATCAAAGACTTTCATGAGTCTTGTTTGGCTAACATCAATATGTTGATGAATTTTAGAAACTGATTTTAGATAAATAATCACATTAGCTAATTATGGCAAAATTAAGAACATACCTCCTTGGGAGAGAAAGCATTCGAAGTTTCTCTCGCATGTCACTGTATTCAGTCATCTCCTGTTCACTTGTTTCTGCAAGTTAAGCTCTATGGTGTAACCTGCAAACAGCTATTGGCCGACACCTCCAAGAATAGCAGCCCATAACCATATCCTAAATAAGAAAGAAAACTATATATACGAGTGTATGTAAGCACTTAAAAATACCTGAAAACGTTTACACAATAATATAAGTATGAAACGGCTCGTGTGAACTCAGAAACATATTCCAAATGTGACCGAAAGGTAAAAATGCCTGTATGCAAGATTAGATAACAGTGTAATAACAGAAAAAAAAATTCAAATTATCGACACCAATGATTCTCAAATTACAAGTCTTTAACTTCCCATAAACACATGATAAGTTCATCAAGTAAATTACACAATAAGTTTATCAAGTTAATACACATTAAGTTCACCAAATTTGCTCAAATATTATTCGTCATCGTTACATCATAATCTTACCACAAAGTTCATTCAATACACACTCAAACACACATATACATATATATATATATATATATATATATATATATATATAAGGATTTAATTTCTCTAGGACATCATTCGATCTTCTTTCCCATTTCTCTGATTACTAGTTACCTGTAATGCAAAAATATAGTGAACTCAAGGGTGACAATTAAGTAACAGCCAATCTTACAAGAATAAATATGAGTACTGTACATAGACTCATAGACTCTATGATATTAGGTAATAAGCAGTCAGTCCAACCTAAAATTCCTATCATGATTATCATTTTAGTCAATGAAGTAATATAACAGATCACGAAATATTTAGAGAACTTTACCAATGAATATAATATATATTGGTCAGATTTAACATGAATTTTCAGCTAAACAGGTTCACAAGAAAAGCAAATGTTGCAGTATTTTTATGGAGCACATTACTAATTCATTTAGAGAACTTCAGCAATGAATTTTTCATTGATCAACATTAGTAAAATACCAGCACAATGATTATGATCTATGCTTACGAAGTATTTTGAACACACAAACAACAGATGCAGTTACTAACAGTGAACAGAACCCTCTTAACACAACAAAAGATGATCCAATACCATATATTTTGTATGACGACAGTTCCATAAAACTCTGTTTTACAAACCCACATTAGATATAATAATCACATTAAAAGATTATGTCGACAGAACATAGTTAACACCTTTTAAGAGAGAAACTCCAAAGATATCTAAAGCATCACACTGTATCTTACTTCTTTGATTTCTTCAAGAACTTTTTCAACGGCAACCTGCAAGAAAAGCAACCAATAAGCGTATGCCTAATAAGAAGAAAGCATGCCAGGCTACTTCACCCGAGTCTTCTTTTCTCTTCTTCTTTTCCTACTAAAACCAATGGCTTCATATCAAAAAGTTTGTAGACAAAACAATCACAGTGATTTGTAGACAACCACTGTTGTTTAAGGTTTTTGTAAATATATCATTCTATTTGAGATTCTTAAAGTTTTATTTTAAGTGCATGGATTTTCATTAGTGTTTTGATCTACTGAACTCGGAGTTATTTGACTATTTGCCAATTCCACTCAATTATGGCAAGAGTGAGCAAGTGATTGCATATCCATGCGATTAATAGTTAGAATAGCATTTAATCATGGATGGTGTGCGAGAAGATTAATCAATTGAAACAATTAACCAATGGAAATAACTACACTACCACAACAAACGACGGAGGGAAATATATATAATAAGAACTCGCAGCTGGATATAAAAAGTTGCTCCCCCAAAGCAGGAATTAGAAGAACTGCCTGCTGCACTGGACTGTCTACTTATAGGTGGCCATGAATTAGAACTACCTGCTGCACTGGACTGTCTTCCTTCAGGTGATCAGATGCATATATGAGGAATGCCGGATATTTTCGGCCAATCCTCACCTCTAAGCATTTCAGATTGGGACCATCAGGCAAGCATTTCAGATTGGGACAGGCTGAAATTGCCAAAGATCTAAGTGAGGTAAGGTTCTCAACATGTTCAGGCAATGCTATGAGGCCAGGACAGCTCCGCATCTCAAGTCTATGCAGCGTTTTGACATGTTGCAGCCCCTGTGGCAGACATAAAAACTTTTCACAATCCGCGATAGTCAAACTATGAAGGGTGGGGAGATGCTGCATATTGTCCGGCATGGAATCCAGACTTGGACAATTCACAACAGTTAAGTGCTCGAGGGATGCAAGACAACGCAAACTGGTTGATATAGATGACAGATTGGTGCAGTTTGTAATGGACAAATTTCGGAGGGACCTCAATCCTCGAAGCTGGTCATCTGGGAGAGCTGTTAAGACTGTGGAACTCACCAATTTCCAGGGACTCCAATGTGTGAGATTTTTCAAACCTTGTGGCAAACAAGAGAGTTTCACACATGCGAATGGTTAGTGATTTCAGAGCCGTAAGTTCACCCAAATTTGAAGGTAGTGATTGAAGCTTAGGGCATGAGATAGTTTAGAGAGATGTGAGATGAGGTTTGTTTGCAAGAAGTTTCTTGAGAGAGACGACAATCCGGGGACATTTTCAATTACGAAAACTGAAATGGAGGATGAGATTTGAGTGGACTTCAATATCGATGCATTGCAATCCTGCAACTCCAAATGCTGAAGAGACGAAAAGAATGGCATGGCCTTCAGGTTTGGACATTGCTTGATAATTAATTTGGACACCATCGAGAATGCAGATGAATTTTGGCCAACCGGACCTGACCATTCTTCCAAACTAGGAAAATCTATCAAGGCTAGTTCTGTGAGAAATTGGAATAATTGTACTCCTCTACCATACAACTCGTTGCCTATTTGCTTCACGCAATTCATTCCACTAAGAGTGAGAATCTGAACTTTTGAGAGTTTCCCAAGAGTAGGAAGGAACTGACATCTATTACACTGATTCAGATCAACCACAACCAAATGGTAAAGTTCCCCTATCCAAGCAGGAAACTTGGTTCCTGGATAGTCCCTCAGATGAAAGTGAAACCGTTTTAGATTGTAGCCAGGTTGGAGGGCTGAAATAACTTCCTCTGCCACTGCAGCATCATGCTCGTGTTGTTTTGATGGTCTTGACGAGGAAGGGCGTTTCTTTCTTCACATCTGATTCCGTCACTATCTCTTCATCAATGTCTCTCCTGTAAAGGCCCAATGATTCTAGTCTCAACTTCGATTTCAAATGTGCCATCCGTGCTTGATGTGGAGCATTTAGTCTCCCCAAGTGTTTAATATTCAACTCACCATGAAGGTCCAGTGTTCCCAGCTGAGAGATGTGTCTTCCAGGCATTTCTTCTACAACATATATTGGCAAGGTCTGAAGCTGAGATAATTTGTCGTTATGAGATGGCATCTGAGCTAGATGTACACATCCAGTTACATTGAGGTGTCTTAGCCTTTCCATGTCTGCCATAGAATTGGGCGACTCCCTGAGATTGCAGCAACCAGATAAGTTGAGCCTCTGTAAGTGCTGGAGTTTGCAGATAGTAATGGGTAATTCATTCATTTGATTGTATGAGAGGTCTAGGTACTTGAGAAACACTAAATCACCGATTGATTCGTGCACTACTCTAATGCTACAATAACTCATATCCAGTACTCACAGATACTTAATCCTTGAAAATTCGGCATAATCCCTGAGGTCTCCCCCAGACAAGAAAAGCAGAGTTTGCAAATGTTTTGCTTCAAATAAGGCATTTGGAAATGAACCGACATTAAAGAGACAGATACATGGCGAGTTTGAGCTAAGGACTCACTTTGTAGATAATGATGATCATGATTCAGCAACTTTACCTGAGCCTTCTTCTAACTTGTTCTTTTACTACTAGAAATGATTGTTTCATATCAAATTTTGTAGACAACCCATATTGCTTTAAGGTTTTCGTATATCTTGAACAAGAAATATGACTGGCAAGTTAAAGGGACCATTAAAAATATATAAATGTGTAAGGTCAAAATTATTGTTTCTTTTTTTTAATTTTTTTATTCATACAAATTTTTAGTGGCAATGACATTTCTGCAACACAGATAAAGTTATCTTTTTGTTTGAAATCCTAAAATTTTTAGTTTAAGTGCATCGATTTTCAGTAGTACTTTAGTCTACTAAATTCCGAGATTTATTAAACCAGCAATTTAATTATCACTCAACATACTTTGCCAATTACACTCATTTTTTTTATGGCAAAGGTAAGCAAGTGATTCTTATCCTTTTAAATGAACATATGGAGGAAATACCACCAGTACTCGTGATAGAAACATTGAATCATCTATGGTCTGCAAGAAGACATCAAGTTAGTTTGATTATTTAATTCACATGATTAACCAATGAAATAATAACTATAAGAAGACAAGAAACAACGGGGACAAAGTTGAACATACATGTATAACAAAAATTCACAGCTAGATCAGACGTTGCTCACCAAGTAAAAATTAAGGATTTCATACTGACGTAGAAGTGCCTGCTGCGCTAGACTGTCTGCTTTCAGGTGACCCGATGTGTTTATGAGGAATGTGGGCTATCTTCAGCCATTCCTCACTTCCCTTCTTTGTGCAACGTTCTTCAAGCTCGGGACATTCTTGAATGGACAGGTGCTGGAGTGCAGTGAGAAGTTCCAGACCATCAGGCAAGCGTTTCAGATTAGGACAGTCAGAAATTGCCAAAGATCTAAGTAAGGCAAGGCTCTCAACATGTTCAGGCAATGCCATCAAACCAGGACAGCTGCGTATCTCCAGTCTATGCAGCGTTTTGACATGTTGCAGCCCCTGTGGCAGACATGAAAACTTGGGACACGATATGATGGTCAAACTGTGAAAGGAGGGGAGGTGCCGCAGATCCTCCGGCAAGGAATCTAGTCTTTGACAAAGCATGACAGTTAAGCGCTCAAGGGATGCAAGACAACGCAAACTGGGCAGTAGAGATGACAGATTGGTACAGTTAGCAATGGACAAAATTCTAAGTGAACTCAATCCCCGAATCTGGTCATCTGGGAGAGCTGTTAGACTGTGGAATTCACCAATTTCCAGGGACTCCAAAGCTGTGAGGTTTTCCAAACCTTGGGGCAAACAAGAGAGTTTGTCACACCAGCGAATGGTTAGTGATTTCAAAGCAGTAAGGTTACCCAACTCTGAAGGTAGTGATTGAAGATTGGGGCAAGAGAAAATTTCAAGGGATGTGAGACTAGATTTGTTTGCAAGCAGTTTTCCTGAGAGAGACAACAATCCAGGGACTTCTTCAATTATGAAAACTGAAATGGAGTTTGAGATTTCAGTGGAATCCAATAACGATGCACTGCAATCCCGCAACTCCAAATGTTGAAGAGAAGGAAAGGATGGCATGGCCTTCAGGTTTGGACATCCGTTGATAATTAATTTGGACACCCTCAAGAATGGTGGACTTGACCATTCTTCCAAACTAGGAAAATCTATCAAGACTAGTTGTTTGAGTGAACGAAAAAAATATCCTTCTTCACCATAAAACTCTTTGCCTATTCGCTTCACGCATTTCATTCCACGAAGAGTGAGAATCTTAAGACTCCAAAGTTTTCCAAGGGTAGGAAGAAACTGACATCTATTACACTGGCTCAGATCAACCTTAATCAAGCATCGATGTTCCACTATCCAAGCAGGAAACTTGGTTCCTGGATACTCCCTCAGAAGAAACCGTTTTAGATTGTAGTGAGGTTTGAAGGCTGAAATAACTTCTTCTGCCACTGCAGCATCATGCTCATGTTGTTCTAATGGTCTTGACGAGGAAGAGCGTTTTTTGTTCAGGAGACTAGCGACATCTGATTCCGTCAGGCTCTCGTCATCAATGTCTCTCCAATAAAGGCCCAACAATTCTAGGTTTCGCTTCTGCCCTAATTTTGCCAGCCATGCTTGATCTGGAGCATCTAGTCTCCCTAAATGTTTAATTTTCAACTCACCATGAAGGTCCAGACTTCCCAGCTGAGAGATGCTTCTTTCATGTGTGTTCTCTACAACATATATTGGCAAGGTCTGAAGCTTATATAATTTGGAAATGTAAGATGGCATCCGCGCCAGTTGTAGACATCCAGTTATATTGAGATGTCTTAGGCTTGTCATGTTTCCCATTAAATTGGGCAACTCTGTGAGATAGAAGCAACCAGATAAGTCTAGCGTTTGCATACGCTGGAGGTTGCAGATAGAATCCGGTAATACAATGATATGATTGTATGAGAGGTCAAGGTACTTGAGGAACACTAAATCACCGATTGATTGGTGCAGTACTGTAATGCCACAGTGACTCAAGTCCAGTACGCGCAGGTACTTAAATCTTGAAAATTGGGCATTATCCCTGAGGTCTCCCCCAGACAAGAAAAGCAGAGTTTGCAAATGTTTTGCTTGGAATAAGGCATTTGGAAACGAATTGATATGAAAAGAGACGGATACATGGCGAATTAGAGCTAAGTACTCACTTTGACGTAGATGAAGATGAGTATGCTCAAGAATCATAAATTCATTTGCTCCAATAGATCGTGCAAGATCATGGAGGAGGTCATGCATCTTCAACTCTGTTATGTTGCTTCTGCAATCATCATTATCACTTTTCTTGACAACTTCAAAGAAAGACGTCCAAAACAAATCATTGAAGTTCCCATTACCAATGTCCTCAGGTCTTCTACTCAGCTGTGCTGGAGCATATGTCTTTGATGGCAAAAACTCTTCCGCCATCCAAAGATGTATTAACTTTTCCTTCTTGATGTGGTAACTTTTGGGGAATATTGAGCAGAAAGCAAAGCATCGTTTCAGATGCAAAGGCAAATGATTGTAACTCAATCTTAGTGCAGGTAAAATTCCAGTCTGGGAATCCCCAATAGAATTCCAAAGTTCACTACTTTTCATGTACAACCACTCCCTTTCCTCTCTCTTGAAGTGCAATACGCTTCCAAGAGTCTTAGCAGCTAAAGGAACACCTCCACATTTCTTGACAATTTCTTTACCAATTGGCAACAGGTTCGAATGCCTCTCCTCATCGCTGGGATTAGAAAAAGCCCCTTTGTTGAAGATAACCCAACAGTCATCTTCACCCAACCCCTTCAAATGGTGTAAGGAAGTAGTACCCATGATTGAAGCCACCTTTTCACTGCGGGTGGTGACTATGACTGTGCTCCCTTCCCACCCCTTACTAGCAAAGTTCTTAGCATCTCCCATTTATTACAATCTTCATTCCAAACATCGTCTAGCACCATTAAATACCTCTTCCCGCTTAATATATCCAGCAAATGACACTGGAGGGCATCCATATGCATGGCTGAGATCTCACACTTATTCTTGGTTCCTGACTCAATAGCTTCTTTCATGATTTTTCCCACCTCAAAATCTTCAGATACACAAACCCACATTTTCAAGTCAAAGTGTTCACTTACTTTCTTATCATTGTACACTAGTTGAGCTAGCGTGGTCTTGCCTAATCCACCCATCCCAACTATTGGTATCACCGAGACATGATGATTTGCTGTAGTATCTGCTGCTTTACATGCATTGATCAATACTTGTACAATCTTCTCTTTTTCCTCCTGCCTTCCACGAACTTCTGATTCGCTAACAATAGAACCAGTCCTCTCTCTCCCAAATGATGCTATTTCTCGTTTCCTACCAACAGTATGGCTCAGCCCCTTCAACCGATACTCATATGCAGAATTGGCCAGCTTGTCTATTTCCAGGACCAAATTATTCAACTCACGTGCATACTCGGTCTGCTGCACCATTGAAGGGCGCAACTCTGATAGAGTAAGGTCGTCCAACAATCCCTCAGCATGATACACTGTATCTTTCACTGTTGACAACCAAACTACCATAACCTCGTCAGTTACATGTCGGTCAATTATATCTTCAACAACTGTTTTAATAATCGGTAATCTATTCCGTAGATTTTGAACATTCTTCTTGAGATCATGAAGTTCACCAAACAATCCCATGCCAGTTTCTGCTAATCTTTCAAGGATCACCCGCAAAAGCGGAGATAGAAATATCTCTGCCATTTTTTTTTCTTCTTAATTTCTGGACAAAGAAAGTTTTCTGCGACTGAGTTTGTATCACCTCTCCAAAGCGAAGATAGAATGTTTTGACTCTTTGACAAGTTATGGGAAGTTTGCATGTTACAACATGAAGAAAAAATAATAATAGTAATTATTTGGACGCGTTAACTACCATATACTCCAAAAGCTTAACCTATTAGAGAGGGTGCAACTTTAATATTTATATATATCCTTCAACACGCCTCCTCACGTGTTGCCTTCTTTTTGGTTCAACACGTGTTTTTTTAATTTTTTATTAGGGTGATGGTGAGGTTTGAACTTGAGACATTTGGCTCTGATACCATGTTAACTACCATCTACTCCAAAAGCTTAAGCTATTAGAGAGGGTGCAACTTTAATATTTATATATATCCTTCAAGATATCCTTCAAGAGGACGAACTAAAACCCTTTCTAGAGGGGTACAACGTTTGGTGCACAGAAGCAATAGAGATCACTCAACTAGTTGTGTGTAGTCCACTGTCAGGTGACTCTGACTCGTGTCCTTATTTTGATTGTAGGGCTTCTTGGAAGGAGCTGAGTCTCATAGCTAATGTTTTTGTCGATTTTGCCTTTTTCTTTAGATGATTAGGAATCTTTTACATTTCAACAGATGAATGGCTACCATGGTTTGGAGAAATATTGTGTTTCCATTGATTTGTACTATTTGATAGTGCCTTTATTTTGATACTAGAGGGCTTCCTAGAAGCTGCAATAGGCCTCAGGTTTCTTTGTCTTGGTTACCATGAAGGATCTAGGCTTTGGGTTTTTGTCTTCTTTCCCTTAATCCCTCATTTTCTTGGTCATCTCTCTTTTTCGTTGGTCATGGCCTCCGTTTCCTTTTAGTTTTTCAAACAATGGGATGTGAACCAGACAAGCATTCTATCTTGTTGGGGCAGCGGAAGCTAGATGGAAGCATAATTTTCAAAGCTGTCTGTGAGATGGACAGCTCAAATGGAGAGAAAAAAAAAAAAAAAAGGACGGACCCATGAGGCCTATATTTTCCTATATTACGGCACAAAGATGTGACATTTAGGTGTCCAAATTGCTACATTGAATGATAATGAGGACTGGAACAAATAATTGCGTTGGAAATAGTATAGGAGATGATGCATGTTGTGCTCTAATAATTGGTTGCAATGATATATTAAAAAGTAAAGCCAAAGGTTTTACTTACCTCCACAGCATTACCATTGCTTCTTCAACCTGGATCCTTTTAGGTGGACTATCATGTACTAGATGGTTGGACTAAATGTCCATTAGAAGCTTCTGATTGCCAATCGCCACCAGAATCATGGATTTCATCGATCTTCCCATACATTGTAGGGTTTTAAATCAAATACCTATCATATTGGGGGCATTTAACAGAGTCATTCCAAATTGGTCTCCATTTTATATGACCATACCACCTCCAAACTCACTCTCCAATACCAAAAGCTTTCAAGTAAATCAAGTGCTTTATTGTGCATCTCATTTAGTCATATCATCAAACACTTCATGTGTCATCCAAAGAACCTCTTTTTCAAACCCAAACAGATAATGTTGTCAGACAAATCAAGCAAACGTATTTCTAAATCATATCTTAGCTCAATACACATCTGTCAGTGGATCTCTTACACTAACCATCAAAACCTGTGCTATAAGATTCCAACGGAACGGAACCTCGTGATTGAAACCAATTCCTGAAAGACAAGTACACCAACTTTGCTTCTACCCGCCATTCTGCAGTAATTTGTTAATTCGAGACTTTGGAAACCTTTTAAATTGTAATTTTATGGAACCCCAGTGAAGGAAGATACATTTATTGTTAACGAGTTGAAGCACATTTGGGATGTTCTTATAATGTTAAAAGCACATTTGGGATGCTCTTATAATGTTAAAAGACTTTTTAAATAATAGAGGGGTTATGAAAGTGTTTGCAGTAAAACAGAGTTAAAGTATTTGGTGACATATTCTATAAAATATATTTTTATACTTGTAGCATTTTTAAATTTGTTCGTAATAAAGTTATTAAAAATATTTTTATTACTAATTTATTATATTACCCTTATACTAAACATATATTAATTCCTTATATTAAATATTATAAAATTTCAGTTTAATAATTTATAAAGATCAATTTGTATTTTTAAATACACACCTTATTTCAAGGGTAAAGGGCAATAAACCCCCCTGAACTTTCAAACAGAAGCACAAAACCCCCCCTAAACTAAATAATGCCCCCTCAACTATTTAAAAAGTATAATTTCAGGACAAAATCTAAATTTGCTGGCACCTGAGCTAACCGGAAATGTTGAATTACAAAATTGCCCTCTAGTAACAACAAATGAAATTGTGACAGCACAAAGACTTTATCACCATTATTTTTGGACAAAAATATCCACATCATGTACTGCCACATCATTAATAATAGGGACATTTAAGTAATATCATAATCCCAATCCCCAAATCTTCTCTTTACAAACCACCGTCTTTCCTTTGAACCAGTCGTGGGGGCACCACCACCATCACCACCAACACAGATGCGGAGGTATCATTCCAACTATCACCATAACCACCACCATCTCCACCCCCATAACGCCAGCGAGAATCACGGCCAACTCCTGATATTTTGTCTCAGACTCGACTTGGCAAATCAAACCATAATAATCACGAAATCAACGTCTGCGTGTCCTTTCCTAGCAACCATAGCAATTGTTGTTGTATGAATCTTCGGTCAACAATGACCGGTCAAGTGCGTGCTCAAGCTCGCCGGCGTTAGCGTCGTCTTCCTCAGCATCGACGAAGTTCCCTGCTATCTCCTCTGCCATACCCATGTTCACACCCATTTGACACCAAAGCCGATCTCTGCCATCACCATCGAAATCTCACCTGCCACTTCTACCATCACCGATCTTACCAATCAAGTCTCCGCCGAGATAGCCGCCTCCATCCATCTTAGATCGAAGTCGTATTCAACAACAGAACCTGAGTTCACCGAACTCAACTTCAACCTTGGGCTCACCGTTGCTGCACCACCGACCGACCGCGAGCCCCATCAACCTCGCTGAAAGTCCAACGGCCAAACTCAGTCTCGCCGCCTCCGGACATCACAGCTGTCTTCTTGTCTTCTTAACCATCGTCAACCACCACAATTCTCCGCTGTCATCTCTGCCATCGTCAATCCCTGCCACCGATCATCACACTGCTGCTCTCCTCTGTCATCAAGCTCGCCGCCACCCACTGCTGAATCGTCCCAAGTCTGTCTCACCGGCTCTCCAACAGTCGCCATCTTTGTCTCACCGACTCTCCAATAGTCGCCAAATCTGTCTCACCGCCGCCCACTGCCGAAACATCCAGCTATTCCCCGCCGGTGCCGCGGGCCGCCGCAAATCGTCCCAAGTCTGTCTCACCAGAGCTCATTCCATCGTCACATCTGCCGCTACTCCACAACCGGCCAATCCTTGCCATCTCCCCGCCGACCAGCCGAAGCCACCCTTTCCACCTTCAGCTTTAACCCTTTTATTTATTTATTTTCTTAATAGTAATAAGGGTAACTCAGTCGTTTTGAAATTATATATTAGGTCAGGTGATGAATAGGTGATGGAATAGTGTCACCTGGTGTGTTTTTTTGTAGAAAAGGAAATAGATTAGGGGGTTTATTGTAAAAATAGAAGTTTGGGAGGTTTTTTTGGGAGAGAGAGTAAAGTTCAGGGGGGTTTATTGCCTTTTACCCTTATTTCAATTCAAATAACTTCTCAGTATCAAAGGAATTGAGTGCCTCGAATTGTGACAAATTTTTTATGGTTTCATTTTTTTTTTTTTTTTTTTTTCAATATTACATATTTTGTTTATGATATCGAATTTGAATTGAGTACTGGATATTCTGTAATACCCCGATAATTTTAAAAGATTTATTAATTAGGATTAATTATTTTATTTTATTTTTCAATGATTTATTTTATTTTATTGAGTGCTAGATTAATTATCTTATTTTAATTAAGTTATATTTCGTGATTATGTATGATGATTGATTGTTTGTGTGGTTGATTATTGATTGAATTATTGGTGTGTTGATTTTATTGGTATTATATGACTTAGTTGTAAATTCTTGTTTGTTTATGTGCTTCATGTAATTAGTTATTTTAATTTCTGTATTTACTTAATTATCTTATTTATTTAAATTAATTGGATTGGGCTTAAGGAAAGTTGGACCAAAAG